CAAAACCATCATCAAATTAATTAAATCAATTGTCCACTGATTTTCTGATTGTCCACTGATTTAGATCTCTAACTGCATCATCTTATTTAAGAACTGTGTCACAATGTTCATTCCTTAGATTCATTTCTTAGATTATAGTTCATCCATGCTAATCTTGTTGGAGTTTTAATACTGGCTGTTGACACTGAGGTTTTTTAGAACAATGTATTATTTTTAAGTTTGTTCTATGTCAGATTTTTATAAGTCATGTCTCGTATTTTTTCACTAAACTTATTATTTTATATTTCAAATACATATATGTTTTATTACTGCATCTTGCTATTTACAACAAATCTTCGAAACTACTCAGCCGATTTCAATGAAACATTATAAATGTTTGGTTAAACTTGATGAATAGTCACTTACAAAGATTGAATAGATAAGAGTAAAAATACATTTTGCTCAGCAAAAAAACCACTTCAATCTTGACGACCAATGTTTCGTAGACACATTATAAAATATTTGCATTTAGAACGCAAAATCTTCTTTTGGATACTGAATGTTACTTGCTCCATATTTCAATTGATATATACGTACGTAAAGCCATTGGTGTACAGTCACAATATAATCTATATACCTACTATATCTTTGAAGTGTACAGAAAAAAGGCGTCTCCGTATAATTGTGTATAAAATCGCTAAAATCGTAAATATCGCTAAAATCATTATTACCACTACAATTTCGTATGATAGCCTACGACAGGCTATCATACGAAACTGCTACTGCAAATTATATATATGTACTTACCCTGTCAGATCAAATTCCATGCAGCTTTCTTTGGAAATCATTGTAGATAATTCCTAATAAATTCATTATAATTGCCTAACTAACTTCACCCTCGCATACCGTCACCCACTGGTGATGCACCTAGTACAGGTGCTCTAAGAAGAAAGTGCTATCTATGTTATCATTCCATTTTCATCTTATTAAAAAAATGTCTATGAAAGCTGATTTTCTAAATGGATAGTATTTTTATATCTGTTAAAGGTGTTTATATGAACACACACATAGAAGAACACTTATTTTTCACTTCAAAAACGTAAAATGAAGCTTACAATTTAATACCTAGATTAGATAGACTCAATACTTTATCAAGTGTTTGTTGTAGGTATCTATGTAAGTACCTACTATAGACTGTAAAATTGTTTCTAATAAAATATTATAATTTATGGAGGAAGCAATTTTCACAAATTGTTCAATCGGCAGATAGGTATGGCCGCAAATGCATTTTCGCAAATACAGGTGTTGATTTTTGGATCTTTGCCAGAAAACTAAAGCAATATCGCACCTCCCTAACTATTTAGTAAAACATGCCACTCTCTAGTAATACTCGTATTTTAAGCATATATATTAAAACTTAAAAATATTAATATATTCTGCACTAGTAGTTATAACTAGATACACAGTTACATTTTTATCCGATTGTAGAAGAAAAGAAATGTTTTTCGTATCTACATTAATTAATTTACGAAATGATTTTCTTTATTCACAATGAAATTTCTAACTTCAATAAGCGATGAATTTTCTCACTTATGCTCCTCCCAATAAACTAATATCACACTTCTGTTGATAATAAAGTATGAATTATGATTTTTATGATAAGTACCTATATACTATCTTTATTTGTCGTTTAGTATTTATCTACGACCCAACCAAACGCTCAACCGATTGCGATTTAAATAATTGAGAGCACATTTAAAATGTTATACATCAATAGAATTTAATAAAAAAGTATTCAAGTTTTGTAAAATTATTAGATAATCACTCTTTTTAAAAAATTGGTGACTAATTAAGACATGCAGTCAATTTATGATTTAGACTGGACATCAGTAGATTGCCTTATGGTCGAGTCAGTTATTCACATGTTTACATTTTAATTATTTTTTATTAAAAGCTAGGTATTTTACTTTCATTAACCCTCTAATCCATATACATTAGGTACAATCACGTAGAGTTATGCAAAACTAAATATGATTTGATCGTTCAATCTCAAGTTTAAAAAATTAAGCTTAAGTTCCAAAATATTATTTCCAAATTACACAATATGAAATAGTTTATCGATAACTTAGATTATAAACAATAACTAATAATCTGACAAAGTCTGACAATCAATCATTGTGAATATTGACACTGCGTCGAAAGTACGTTTTAGGAAGTATGAATTAGTTCTATCTTTTACACGTGATTCCGAATGGCACTATTTGAGAATAAACCAAACACTTCGTAACAACTCGTTTTTACTGAGCAAAAAAGAAGCAGGTTGGAAGTTGCTTGACCATTATATATCGCTTGAAAATGAAATGAAATAGGAGACTCTATCTTTCGAAATTTATTCAAAAGATTTTCAAAAAGCAATTTGAAAGTTGCTTAAAGGATTTTGAAATTCTTTTTTTTTTTTTGGAAATTGTTTAAAGATTAGATTAATTTGGTACCTCTTTACTTCGGAAGTCGTTTAAAATACACCATATTATGATTTTTAAAAATGATTGTCTCACTTTTATACAAATAGTTTAAATAAGTGTAAAATGTTTTTGTACACCTTTATTGAGATAGATTTCAGTGATATGAGTTCATAGTTAACTTATCCTCAATTTCTCCGGTAGTGCATATCTTGCACGTTTGCAACATTTCACCTCGGATTTTTTCCTAATCCTTTTTAATGATATACATTTGTCCCCTCTGTCTAGCTCTCCTGAACCTCTGCTGACTTTTTTTCTGCATTAACAATCAAAAAAATTTAAATGTGAGACCGGCTATTCATATCTTCTTGCTACCGACTACAACTTTATATATATATATATATATATATATATATATATATATATATATATATATATATATATATATATATATATATATATATATATATATATATATATATATATATATATATATATATATATATATACGATACACAGCTCACTGAAGGAATATGCTCTTTTCTTGAAGGTTATAATGTCGTATCAGTTCGGAAATACTACTGTTGATAAAAGATATATAGAGATGTAACTCTACGTAGTTTCAGTAGGTCGAGTTAAATACTCGTAGGAAGGGCTAATCATCAATAAATAGAATCGCCCGACTTTGAATGCGGTCCAGTGGAAAAGCTGATATTGTGGCGCTGATTTTCTAAGGTGAGAACAGTATTCCATATGTGACCGAACTTGAGCCTTATACTATTGTAAGCGACTCTAAATTACAAATCAGTTAGCGCGAGTTGAATCCCGCAGCGAAATTTCTACGAGTATAAATAAAATAATATATGCCTAAAAATATTTGTGTTGTCTTTAATTAAAATTTATTTAAATATGTAAATAGAAACTTGTACACACAAATGTATTTATTATTATTTATTATAAAAGATTTATATAAAATATATTGTTTCTTATTTTTCTGACAAGCGGACGAACGGACAGACAGGGACACACCATAAGATTTCATTTTATATTGATTTGTTAATGAACCATAAAATTCATTAAATCAATCTTAAATAAATTTTTAGTTTCTTAGGGGTTGAATTTCCAAAAATATAAAGTGAACTCTAACGTCCATGTCGCTCCTATACCGGTTATGATTCCTATACCGGATACACTACGCTCGAAGTTGTCGACGAGTATATGTATACCTACCTAAGATAAGTTATCCGAATAGGTAAGTCTAACTTCAACCGAGAAGACAAACAACGAATCTAACTCGGCTGGGTGGTATTCAGAAAACTATGCTATATCTTTTCATCCAAAATACCTCAAAGTTTGAAGATGAAGGTCTTTAACCAGTACGTGTTGCCAATGACGACTTATGAAACCAAAACATGGTTCTGTATGCCAAAGCTTTAAATTACCAGAGGGAGACTTTGTACAAAAGTCGATTGCTTGTGTACCTCTGTCCCATTCGTGTTTCTACCGTGAAGCAGTTGTGTTTGCATAGCTGTGTTTCGGTTTGAAGGGTGGGATATGGCGTGAATTTACTGGGTACAGAGGAATAACACCTGAGTCCTCAAGAATGGCAACGCATGGGGGGTATCATGGGCGAAACAGTATACTCTGTTATGCCCATGGTACTGCTCATATTTATAGGCGACGGTTACCACTTTCCATCAGGTGTGCCGTCAGCTTATTTGCCATTCTAAGTTGTATAAAAAAAAAATTACTCAGCGGGCTATGGAGAAGGCTATACTCGGAGTTTCTTTGCGTGATAGAATCCAAAGCGAGGATATCCGCAATAGAACCAAAATAACCGACATAGCCTAAAGGATAAGCAAGCTAAAGTGGCAATGGGCAGGTTACAGCTCGAAAAACTGACAACCGATTCGAAAGAAAGGTTCTTGAGTGCAATCTCGCTCGCTCTCGCTCTCGCAAGGGAGGCTTATATCCAACAGTGGACACATAATGGCTGAAATGATGATGATGATATTTACCTTTACAAACTTTCTGCTCCTTAAGAAGAGATATGAAACATGTTAAAGCACGACTCGTATTTTTGAAGAGCAAAATTAATTATACAGACTAAATTGAGAACCTCGCCTTTTCAAAGTTATTTTATTTAGGCTTGTGTCCTCCTAATAAGCTTTTTAGCACTACCATAAACTTGAATCTAGCTCATAGACTTAGTATAACATACTACATACTTCATAATCTAAAGTTTAACTAACGCTCTTGAAGTTTTAAAGCGGGTTAAATCTAATCGAAGTAACTAAAAAGTTTTAAATATATTTTTAAAATATTTAACGAGACTCCATAAAAATCGCTTTTAACAGTTCAATAAGAAATATATTTATCTTTAAAGTTAATTAGATTTCTGATTGTTTTTCTTGCCAATATCTAGTTATTCTGTTTTGAAAAAAAATTCCCGAAATCGGTTCTATTCACCTAATGTATTCTATTTACCCCGTTTTACGGTACTCTGTTCTTGTTCTTGTAGTGATTACTTGCTCTGTACTTCTTGTCAATTTCAAGCATGTTTTCAAGTTTCACGTGTATATCGTTGCGTATATTCAATTGCTCTGTAATCTGATTCTCAATTATAACCTACAAAGTGTTCGGTGTGGTTTCGTTTTGTTTAAATATAATAATTTGTTTATGTACAACAAATATTAATTGTAAAAATGCTTTCTGTAAAGCAATCTGCTCCCAAAATTGCAAAGCGTAACAAAAAACAAAAGTCCTTCAAAATAGAAAAACTTGAAAAGAAAACATTCAAAATTGTCAGTGAAAAAGAATCTTTGAATAAAAATTATTTGAGAACTAAAAACGAGGAGAAAAAAGAAACATCAGATTCTATAACTAAAATAACGAAGAAAAAGAAAACCAAATACATAATGCCATCAAAAAGTATCACCAATGAGCTTGTCGAGCAGTGTTTATTAGTCTTGGAACAACTAAAAATGAATACCAAAAAGAAGAATGCAATATTTGATGAAGAAACACAAATTTTTGCTGAAATAAACTGTATTAAAATTCAAAATTCTAAAGGCAACATTAAATTGTTTGTAATTATAACATTCTCTACTTTAAAATATTATCTTATATATTTTAGTTAAATATGTATATTTTTTCCAGTGTCTTTCCTCACAGTACTTGTTTCTCAACTAATGAGGTCTGCCTTGTGACACCAGACATAAAAAAAGGAAGAAAGCATGACCATGAGCCAACTGTAGACCGCTGGGAAGAATTACTAAGAAATGCTAATGTTACAACAGTGAGTAGTTATTATTTTGTAATAGAAATAGGAATTTTTATATCATACTATGGATATATGTACATTTTCACACAAAATAAATCACACTATTATAAATACCCATGTGCAATTTTTGTTATCATCATACTATAATTTTTGTCCATTAAAATTACAAATTGCTCCATCAAAACCATTTTTAAGAAATTTACACATTGATATACATACCTACAACAATGAATAAAATACTTCAATCATAATAATATATAGTTTTAAACCTATTAATCACATACAAAAAACAACAGGTGAATAAAAAGCACCTTTTTGAAGCTTTTTTAAAAATTGTTCTATTGATAATGATTTACATTAATATTAATTTTTTAAAATATGTCTACAGACACTGTCCATAATTTTATTATTATTTCAAAACATCGTCATATCAGCTATTAACAGTCCACTGTTGAACATAGGCCCCCATAGACTGCCATAAAGAATTATCCCATGGTACCCACATCCATTGACTCCCGGCATTTGAGGTTGTCCCTCCATCTAGTTGGTATCCATCCTACATTGCATTTGCCTATATGAGATTGCTACTCAAGAACCATTCTTCCCAATTGGTTACTAGTTCTTCGAGCTAAGTAACCAACCTATTATTACTGAAATCATATTTTAAATGAAATAATAAAATTATGATAAGATACATTTAAATATTGTAATTGGTATAACTGTGATAAATATTACATCATGTTTTAAACCTATTTTTTATATATTTTACAGGTTAAAACTATACTTCCAGTGAGGCAGTTGAAAGTTGAATATGATCAGTATGAATTAAAACGAAGATTACTAACACAGCATGACTTCATCATGGTCGACACTAGAGTATTAAATCATGTATCACATCTCTTGGGCAAAATGTTTTTCAAAAAACATAATATGATTATACCTGTTAGACTAAATGAAAATGAAAAAATTAAAAAAGATATTGATATTGGTTTAAGAACAGCTATGCTTCGATTGAATATTGGACCAACATCGACTATTGTTGTAGGACATACAGGCATGCCAAGAGAACAAATAAAAGAAAATGTCCTTTCCCTAATTCAGCAATTGAAAAACAAATATCCTGGAGGAGAAGCTAATATAAGATCACTTGCTTTGAAACTTCCATTGTCTTTATCATTGCCTTTATACATAACACTAAGTAAGTAATATTAACCTGGTTTCCAAAGAACTTTCAAAAGAACACTTTGATCTGAGATAAAAAGCTGAGGAGCAATCAAACCTATCTCTAAAATTTCAATTTGATATTCCAACTAAATCTTTATTATAGAGACCAATGTTAACTATTTTCTGAGAGATTTAAGTAAACTAAAAATATTAAAAATTTTGTTTGTAATAGTCTATACATCTGTAGGTAATTCTGAGAAATTATCGAATTAAATGATTAGGTCAAGAGATGAGTTTAGACAAATGGTTCCTCAAAATCAATTTCACTGTAACCTAATATTTATAATATTATTTTAAAATATTTGTAGATTTATACTTACAATAAATATGAGCTTGAAATAAATATTTGAAATACATATATATGTATGTATATATATATATATATATATATCAATATAACTTTCAAGCTAATACTCATGATGCTATTCCTGTCACATATTAGTAATAAATTTTAGTATGGTGGGGCTAAATGTTCCTTATTGTTAATGAAAAAAAAATTCTTATAAAACACTTCAATAGTAAATTATTTTTCATATCAACATTTTTAAAAGACTCACATAATTCCTTGACAATTTTATATTCTATGCAACTAGCATTAAATCCGCCTTTTGTACCATATTTTCTTATAGTCAATAAAGTTATTTAAATATATAATAAATTCTGTTACAGGGCCATCTAACCTAATTAATCCACCAAAACTTGTGCACAAGAAACCGAAAAATTTTGCTGTAGTGGAAGACGAACTGTCCACTATTCCAGACAGTACAGTCAAAGTAGCTCCAGATGGCACAGTGCATGTTAAAAGGCCAAATAGTAATAGGTGAATTTTTATTAATATACCTGACTGCATTCAAATTTAGCATAGACATAATCATCTAAGATCTAATTATAAACATAATATGTGGTATCAGATTTAATCTGAAATTGTCGAAATCTAATAGAAATTGCTCAAGTAATGTAACAAATAAAGTCACAATGTGTGAATATGTTACTATGTAACATTATGGCATTGCAATGTCATTAAGTTATTATTATAAAAATATTTTTTAAGCTCTTACACATGGATAGGTACTCTTAGAAAACCCTTAAAAAACGACACATACAACCTTATTGTATGGATGAAAATTGAATGATAACTTTTGTTTTATTAGGTTATACTGACAGGTTTTTTAATGGACTATAATAAAATGGTAATCCTATATGTATTGTATGCACTGGCAGGGTATCAGTGAGAGATGATAGGTGAGAATGAAAACAAATCAGTTAGCCCATCATAATGAATTCCACAAGAATTAACCATGATGATTTCCTGAGGGGACCATGTGAAAGTCAACCTAATAGCGTATTTTGCTAGCAATGGGGCTATGAGACCCCATTACTAACAACCTATTCCCCCACACTGATAGGTTCCCAAGGTAATTCTTTATAAATTCATTACAAAAGTTTCCAAGGATGATAATTGGAAATTGACCTGATAGGTATTTACATACACAATATTTTACAAACGTGTGTAGTATTAAAACTAAACACTAATCAGTTAAATTTATATCCAAATTAATAAAATTTAAAAATATGCTTTTCTAGGAATATTAATTTTACAAATTAGACATGTCTACAATTTTTTTATATCCAGATTTCTAATTTCTAACATTTTTATTTTAGTAAATCCCAAGTTATAAATGAAGTTGACGAAAGTGATGAACTAGAAGAATCTGAAGATGACAGTGAATAGTTCTAAAGGATATATATATAATTATAGAAACATTGATTATTATAAATGTTTTATTGTATTGTATACAAATAAAGAAATAAATGAAAATGAAGTTTTATTTTACAATATTATCCTCAATGCTAATCATAACTTTGTGAACATATTTCCTGCTGATTAGGTAAATTTGGAACCATAACATTCATAGATGATCTTGTAATAGTTATTGACTGATGTTTTAAAGGCCACACCTTTTGAAATTTCTTAAAATTTTTCACTGAATTATTATGCAAATCTACAACATAGGGCTCTTTTTTGACAATTAGTTCCTTCTTAACAGTCACAACAATAGTGCCTATATCAAGTTTATTCATTTTTTCATCCAAATCATCAGTCATTTCTTGCTTAAGTTTATGAATGTTAATATTAGAAGTTATATTCATATTATTCTTCCTTAATTCTTCAAGTTTACAACCCCTTAAAGCTGATATGTCTACATCACTACATTCAGCACTTTTACTTTTTGGAGCTATAGGACTATCAAATTCTATTTCATCATCTGAGTTACTATGCACATGCTTGGTCTTAAAAATGCCATGTTTTGTGCTATCACCAAGCAAAGGCTTTTTATCCTCAATAAAATTGAATAATTCATCTTCATCATCACCTCTCATGTCTTGCTTCCTTTTAATTGGTTTTAAAAGATTAAGTTTTTTTTCTGGATTTTTAGCTGTATGAACAGGAGTAATAAAATTAAAAAGATCATCATCATTATTATGATTATTGGAAGCAAGTTTTTTATTAGGATTTGATTCTTGTCCATTTACATCTTCACAATTTTTTCTTTTATTACTTCTATTACAGGCAGTTACACTTTCAGTGGCTAATTTTTTCATTGCATTACCATGACTTACATCTCCATCATTACTTAATCTTCTTTTTGAAAGATTACTCTGATTAATTTCTGATGTCATACTTTCATTTATTACTACATTATCTTTTTTATTTTCTATTTTGTTTGAATCTTGCGATTCTTGTGCAAGAACAGTAACTGATTGCATAATTCCACTTGGTTTTTGTTTAATCACTTCAGATGAAAAATTAAAATCAGGATTACAGTATTTCTCAATAGAACAATATAATATTGCTAAACCAATTTCTGCATCAGCAATAACTCTTTTACCATTATTCTTTAAATGGTTTATTATGTCATTTATCTGACTTTTTAAATTGTCAGTGTCAGAGTTAGTTACATTATACTGAATAAAAATTTTATCTTGTTCACATAACATGGACTTTGTCATCTTTGTATCACTTAATAATATGGCAGTACCAGCACTTTTCATCAACACTACCTTATACATTTCAAATTGTTTTCTTGAGAAAAATACAATTTTTTTCCCAGCAAATAATATTTTCCTACTATTATTAGGTAAAAATGATACAATATCTTTATTAAGTGTTGACTCTACTATTTGTGGTGTGAAATTACTTGGTTTAGGCATTAATGTATTGTTATTGACAGCTTCCAAACACTTATTCCAAAATTCTGTGGTTACAATGAGTGAGCCTTGTACTAATGCTAACACAACTTTTATAGTCAAAGTTAATGCTGGCATAGTTAAATACATGCAAGAATCATCCCATTCACTTTTTAGGATGCCTCCGAACTTACTAAGACACAATTTTAAATTCTGAAGGTTCTCACCCTTCAATGTAGATGTGCATGTAATAAAATTCACTTCGTTAACTTGCCAAACATTGTTTAATTTTCCAAACTTCACCACGTCTTTGTCATGCAATTTAATTAACGAATTGCTTTCAATTTGCTCACAGGAATCGTTGACAAAAGTTCCATATCTTGACCCCAAGTCTTGTAAATACAAGCAACTTTTAATAACGGACAATGTAGCATGTTTTCTACTAATTGAAGCATCGTTAGGTATGGAAAAAGAGTTGTGTTGAGAATCCACATTTCGGCCAATTGTTATTTCTGTATCAGGAAGAATATAAATGACCCTACGATCATTCTCAGAGGTCAAATACCACATTGCTCTTACGACGGCTGCCTAATAGAACTGCAAAATAAAATAATACAACAAGAATCTTTAAATAATAAATTCTATCTTTCAAATAACATAATCAACACAAAACAGCAGCTAACTCACTCAATAACACAGATTAGAAAGAGTGTTAAAGAAATAACATGAGGTAATGCACAGATTAGAGACAATTAAACATTTTACACCACAGATCAGAAAGACTATATCTAAACCTAGTATATAACAGGCTAGCCTATATAGCAAGCTAGTGTGTAGAAAATGTTTGATACTAAGAACAAGGAATTACATAGAAGGAATGATAAATTAAAAACTAGCTGCTATGAATTGAGAACAATAGCAACTGATGCTATATCTTTCGTCCTTTTTTTACTAATTATATTTGCATAAGAAGAAAAGAAGCAATCATATAATTTACAGTTTTTATTTTATCATTCCTTCTATGTAATTCTTGTTCTTAGATCTAAACCTACTACGAATCGAAAAAAATAACTGATATAATATTTCTCGTCTACTTTTTGCTTATAATATTAGTAAAGAAGGAAAGAAACAACTATATGATTTACAGTATTTATTTTATCATTCCTTCTATGTAATTCCTTGTTCTTAGGTTATCACCAAAGGTTATCACCGTTTCCATAGAAACCAATGTTGTCAACTTGACTGTCATCAACATCGGAACCTAATATAAATTTTTATCTTTCAATTCTTTTTTTTACACTTATATGCCTACTTAATAAAGTGTATTTACAAAAGAAAAATAATGAATAATATTTATTAATGCAAAATTTTATAAAACATGACTCTTTATATTGATACCAAGTTAACTTTTACTGATAATAATGTAGTATCAACAGTAGGATCTTGGCATCCCTCTTTGCCTCTTTTAGCTGTAGGTTCTTACAGTCAAGAAAAAGGAGGATTTGTAACAATATTTCATGAAAATGTAAGTTAAAAACATATTAATCTTTGTTATTACATTCTGGGTTGTTTTGGACTATTCTACCCTTATAAGAATAATCATCACTTGTGCTGACTACCGATATGTAAGTCCTTATTTGCCTGTCTAAAACATTATTAAAAACACAACTTTTAACGAATATATAATTTTAGACAGTACATTTAAATCAATGCATATAATGTTAACAGAGATTTAAAAAAGTAATTGTTAAGTTTCTTGTGGGCTCTTCTCAACAGATAACAACATTCCGAACCCTGCAGTAGATTTAAAAAAAAAAAACTATTTAAAAGTGTCTGTAAACAAGTCTATTTAAATAAAAATGAATTTGACTTACATATATATTATTTGTCACCAAATTTGTTTCATAAAGTCTATTTATTGTAGAATTACAGAAACAAGTTTTTTTTGTTAGTTGAAGAGAAAAATATTTTATGGAGGAATCCCATAAAATAATAATATAGTTTATTATTTATCATATTTTGCACCATATATGTTATGCTTTATATATAAACAATATAGATTTCATACAGTTCTTTAAAAAAATAATAAGTTTAATGGAAATAAAATAATAACTACACAAGATTGATGGAAGAGAAAGGTAAAAAACTTAGTTAATAATTCAAAAAGGAACAATATAAACTAAACAATGCCTCCTCCCAGATTACTGTGGGTCATAATTTATTTCTAAGAAATTGTAATGAATTATTTTGTAATTTATATTTATCATGTTAAATTTATTTAAAACCAATAACTTTTCTTATATTTCCAGGGACTTCCACTGGAAGGTTGTGAGTGGCCTATATTGTTATCTAATCAAGTAACAGCTCTTGCATGGCATCCTACGAGAAGATTACTAGTAGTGGGTTGGGATGGTGGTGAACTGTACATTTGGCTGGAATACTCATGGGCAAGATTGGAAGCTCCTCATAATGCTGCCCTTACCACAGTGGCATTCAGTCTCGGAGGGGGCCGCCTCCTTGCATCTGATACTGCTGGCTCTCTCTCTGGTTGGCAATCAGCTTCTGGTGCTCCACTTACTTCCTTTCACCATCAGTTAGGTGATGTCATTACTCATGTTACATTCTGTTCTCCTCGTCCAAACAGTGAGTCCTCAATTAGAGGACTCGCCCGGGCAGCAGTAGCTGGTGATGAAAATGCACTAGATGCTCTGGCAGCTTGGCGTCCCCGCACGACTGCTAGAATAAAAGAAGGCAGCCAACCTGATAATCATGCCTGTTATGCTGCTCAAGATAATGGTGTAATATTATATATTGACCACACAGGAGCATGTTCTGAAGTTCTCAATGCTTCTGGAAATATAATATTTATGGGAGTCATCAGTAACATTTATCTTCTTGTTGCCTGGGAATCAGGAGGGGCTCTTAGCTTAACTAGGTTATTTACTGCAGATGATGGCTCTTTAACAACAGATACCCATGTAAGAATGGCAGCTAGGAATGGTCAATGCATTGTCCTTGCTGGAAATTACAATGTGGCTGTTATAACTGGGGACAATTTAATCCGTGTTTGGGATAGTGAAACTGGGGATAATGACGCTTTGCCAAATGAAAAAGAAGAAATTGCAACAGGAGATATCTTTACGAGTATTAATTATTGCAATTTAAGTGACACTCTCTGTTGTGGTACTTCCCAAGGACATTTGTATCTATGGAGGCGTGATCACAGAAACCAATGGAAACTCATTAGTAGCACAACTGTTAAAGGAACAGTAAAGGAAGTCAGCTGGGGTTCTGAGGGCTTGATGAATCCTTTATTATATGTAAATTGTATAACTAGTGCATATATTCTTCGTGAGCAACCTGTCTCGTGGGGATATTCACCCAATGTGTGGATGGTACAAAAGTCTGCTAATGAACTGGCTATTTGTAATAAAAATAATTTTACATCTACTATAAATACATCAGTCACAGTAAGAGCTTTTGCTTTTAAAGATCAATATGTGGCTTTAGGTGATGGGAAAGAAGTACAGGTAATGTAACTTCTAACAGCAATAAATTTAATATACATTTTTTTATTAATTCTCTAATAACAATACTGTATATTTTGCAGATATGGATGTGCAGTAAAGATAATGAAATAAATTTTTCTCTTATAAGAACATTTTCATGGAAAACGGATGTTCTTATTATTTATAATGACATCCTTGTGGGAGTTGTTAACCCTCACATTGAATGTTACACAATAACAGGCAATAGCTTAGGTATCTTACCTAGTACAGAAGGAGAAGGGGAACCAATCGGAATTACGAACACCAGTAGGTTTATTGTTATTGCTACAATGGATGGAACACTAAAACTAGCAGAAATAACAAAGAAAGGACTTCGAATGCCATATCCTCCTAAAAATTGCTACCAAATGATTGAAGATTTTGGAGAGGTAATGAGAGCATCTGTTAATTCCACTGGTCGATACATTTGCTTAAGTATTGCTAATGCCGGATTGGCCCCAGATCCTCGGCTTTATTTATGGGATGTGGCAAACGATGTTATATCAAATACTCTAGTTAGCAATGAGAATTCAACTCCTCCGTATCAGAGTGTTCCTATAGCTATACTATGGGACAATAATGATTCTAGACTCGTTGCTGTTCACATGAGGTCAGCTGATATAGATAGAATCCATTTGTTTATTTGTCATGAAGGTAAGCTTTATGAATACAAAAATTGGTGTTCTTCTTCAGAGGTAAATTTTACAACTGATTTTATGCTATGTTCTTTATACACTCCGCATTTAATAATACTTTCTCAACAAAATCTTAAAAAAATTTTAATGCGTGAATTTGAAGATATCCCTGATTATGATCCTTCAAATATAAGACAAGTATTAGATTTTCTTTACTACATGACTACTGGCCATTTAGAGAAAGCAGTTGTGATAGGTTCAAGCATATCAGGTGGTAAAAATACAGTTATATGGGATAGTTTAGCAAAGGAATGCGTATCGCGTAAGCGACCTGATGTTGGTGCAGTATGTTTGAGCAAAATGGGTAATATTAAAGGTGCCCTTATGTTGCGTAAAGCCATGAACGCTGACGATATCGATGACTCCTGCAAAATAGGCATACTTGCTGTTAATCTCGATATGATAGATGAAGCAGAAAGTCTTTTCCGAGAAGCAGAGAGGCCAGATTTAATTACTCGTCTCATATCAGCTAAAGAGGGCGGATTAAACGACATAACAAATGGAGCAAACGAAGGAGAAAATATCTTACTTATAAAAAGTGCTCAACATAAATTGGCCAAGGTTCTTTGGTCTAATGGGGAAACTGGCGCGGCTTTAAAGTTATTTGAAGCTGCAGGCACTCTTGTACCGCATGTACCGCGAAATCTTATAGCTCAAGGCCAAGCTCCCATATTAGCACAATATGTATCGAAATCAAATGATGTTAGTTTAATAACGTGGTGGGGTCATTATCTAGAAAGTATTGGCGATCTTGATGGCGCTCTGGAGGCTTATGCTCGCGCAAACGATTTTGGCGAACAGACCAGACTATTATGTCACATGGACAGAATAGATGAAGCTGAGAAATTATGTCACATGAATTCTTCTTCTTTATATCAAATGGCACGCTATCTAGAAATGCAACCAGATAAAACTGAGAATGCAGTTAAGGTAACTAAAATATAGTATCTACCTGTAAAAACACAATACTCTTCTAATTATTAACCTTATTACGGACCTAATTTATTTATGTATCTAATACTTATTTTTTTGCTCTAGATGTACATTAAATGTGGTGCAATATCGTCAGCAATCCGCGTCGCAGCTGAAGCAAGTGCTTGGAATCTTGTTTGGCGGGCAGGATCCGTTTCCTCTACGCATGCCCTTCATGCGGCTTCGATTTTAGAAAACGCTGGTCAAAATGAACAAGCAATTACTTTGTATCAAAAAGCAGGTAGGCTAAATACATTATCTCATCATCATCATTATTTCAGCTCTTGTCGACATACTCTCAACCTTTAAGATATAGTTAACGAGGATCTTGTGAACGATGAACCTGATACCATCATGGAACAGATAGTCACCTTCCTGGTGGTAGCATAGATTACCAAATTCAAGGATTATCATATCCTTCCCCTGTCTTCTGACTTCAAATAATCTTACAATATCTCAAAGTAACTTGTTCACCTCTTATTTCAGCTCAACAATCTTCTCATCGGTCCTCAAAGTTCGTGCATAATTTGTTACCAGGTCCAGTCGTTTTTGTTAGTAGCCTAAACTCTGCTGGAAATTCTTCGTACCTCCTGCTCCACCATTACCATGACCGCTATCTTGATCAGGAACAGTGGAGCCACTAGGAACTGTCTGCCTTTTCCTTTTAATGTTTTTCTTTGAAAAGATTTTGTCAGTAGTAGCCAACCCGCCTGCCAAACGTGGCTACTTCAGTTAGGCTTTAGGTGCTTTTTTTTAAGAGGGATCCTTCGACCATTTAGTTTCCTTTGTTGGATAAAAATAAGGGTGAAGGACAAACCTGGTTCACGTAGTCCCCGCGTGTATGTCTTTTTATATGCGTTCTTGTTTTATTTTCAAATTACCCAACACTTTTGTTAAAATTCGCTAAAATTTCACTGTATGAAATCGCGGCTGGTTGAATAGTACGCGACTGGCGGAAATTTATTTGTGATCTTAACGGAACTTGATCTGCTTGACGCACAGTTGGACTACATACTTATTTAGTAGCCATCTACCCCCAATGTTATCTCAGGTTTAATCGCGAATATGGATAGGTAAGAAGGGTGTAGGATATTGCGGCATTGCGTTTGGAAATATTTAATTTATATAAAAATGATAAGATTATATAAACCACCCTTAGTCACCTCTTTCGACACCCACGGGAAAGGAAGAGGTAGCGTATTCTATGCCGGGACCACACCGCAAAATACATAGATTATATACCTAAATGCATTTTATATACAACTATTGTTATGATTTGTAATTATAGAAATTAGCGGTGCAGTATGATGCTATTTTTAAAGCTCTCTTGTTCTTCTTTTTCTTTCGTAACTGGAATTGTACGATTGTTTTTTTACAACGCCCCGTTTAGAGAGACACTGATTTTCGCATATGGATTAGAAAATGATTCTGTCATCAGTTTTGTATGGTTAACGCCATACAAAAATGATGACAGAATAATTTTATGGAATTGTAACGGTAAATAAGGTTTTATTGTCACATAACCAGTTAATATTTAATATTTCATTAGTTAATAATCGTGTTTGTTGGTTATTTTATAATTATCATTATTTTCAGCATTTTTATTTTTTTCAAATTATTATTATTACATATTTTTTGTTGTTTTGTGTATCCCTTTAGTTATATAAATATCAGAACATATATAATTATTTTTTTTTAGGGAAACCGCACATGGCATTGAAATTAGCTGTAAGTAGTGGAGACACAAATGCTATGATTGCGGCAGTAGAGTCGCTGGGTGACCGTGTAGATCCAGAAGTCGCACATACGCTTGCATCACATCTCAAAAAAGCAGACCACCATTCACACGCTGCTGCTTTGTTAGCAACGGCTGGAAATGTATGTATTTCCTTTTATTTATTTATTAGACGTACAAAGACACATAAGACAATGTTTATACAGTATAATATAAACTAAATATACAAGTATGACTGTATACTGCATATTCGTTGATAGGTACTAAAATCTTATACAATAATATCATTATGGAAGTACTTCTGAATAGTTATATATACCTTGCCAACAATTTTTAAATTCTATAAACAAGATCCACTGATTATTATTTTAAAAGTGTATATAAATATTACGTGTTTAATAATATACCTATAGTGGGGGGAAAGGGATTGTTAGTAATGGAGACTGAGAATCCCATTGCTAGCAATATACCCAATCAGGTCGACCTCCTCGCGGTTCCCCCTGGAAACTATCATGATTTATTCCTGATGAATTCATCATGATGGGCTAACTGGCCTGTTTTCATTCTCATCAATCATCCTTCACTGGTGCTCCGCCAGCGTATTCCGTTAGCGTAGGCGGGGTTACCATACCATTTTCACCCATCAAAAAAAAGATATATATATATATATATATATATATATATATATATATATATATATATATATATATATATATATATATATATATATATATATATATATATATATATAGTGCTTTTCTATATATAATATAAAATAAATATATACCTAACACGTTTTTACCTACTTCAAAATTCCAAATCCATGTGTTTTTACGCAGTTGCGGGCAAAAGCTTGTAATGAATAATTCCGTCATATTCTACGAAGTCACTGAATATAATAAGCGCTACAATGCAATAGTTATTATAGAATGGAAATCCTTAGGCAATAAGGCACGAGAATAGGCGATAAACGAGGCATAACAATGCCTCTCGTGTCTATAATTGCATTCTCTACACTTCAAATCAATATAATATCGTACATATAGCTACTATATGGAAGAAATAAGGAAATCGGCGATATGCATGTTGATCTAATTTGTTGTTTTTATTTTAGTATGAGGAAGCATTAGACATAATGGAACAATCATCGGCACCGTTATCGGAAGAGTTGAGCGAGCGGTTGGCAGCGCCAGCGGGCACAAGCGGTCGCGATGCACTACTGCGCCGCCTAGCGGACGTTCTCGGCGCGCGAGGCCTCTACCATCAGGCCGCTAAACGACTCGCTCATGCAGGAGATAAGGCTTGTGCAATTGTTTTATAATCTTTTTATGCATTTCAAAAGCTTAATTATATAATTTTTTTTAATTATAAATTCTTTCCTTTAAATGTTTACAGCAAGCTAAATGGCGTACACCTGTCGCGCCATTTTACTTATCATAAATAAAGTACATTGATTTATGTCACTTGCCTTACAGGTGTTTCTTTAAAATTTTTATGCAACTTGGAGTAGCAAACATACCCTAATATCCTCGGTATGAATGTACGTTGTAATCTGACCCGAAAGAGCTATATCGAAAGCGTCACCCTAACAGCTTCCCGAAAGCTTGGGATACTTAATAGAATGAAGCGGTTCTTCACGCCTGAGCAAACGTTGCTTTTTATATAAGATGCAAGTGCGCTCATATTTGCCGTTATTGCTCACATCTTTGGGATGGCTTCGCCCGATATCTTCTGGATACTCTCTACAGATTGCAACATTGTACCATCCGCATTATTTACAATCCAAACGTTGCTATCACACTTAAATCTCTTCAAAAGCATCGTGATACAGGCAGTCTAAGTGTCTTTCACCGTCTATAGCACAGGGATTGCACTGAAGAGCTTTTTAACTTAATCCTTCCTTACCATTCCTTTTCAAAAACAACACATGCTTGACTCAAACACACCCACACACAGTACAAGCATTGACTGCGTGCACCAAAAGATCCGTAGATTCATACCTCTGTCGAATTATTAAACTTTGGATTTCTTTTCCCAGTCATGCGTTTCCTCCTACCTAAAATCCTGCAGCATTTAAGCGGGGCGTAAAAAAATGCATTTGTAGGCTGTCAAGGTGACAATCGCCAACATAGTATAGATTGTTGTGATGGCAACCCTTACATTTGGAGCACGTTACCTGGTCTGTCAGGAGGGGTATGTTTATCTAGCCTCTATATAAAAAATACTGATTATTAATTGAATTTGTTATTGGTATTCGCGTACGGTACGGGAATTGTCTAAATCGTGGGTGCCTCAAGTTTAGTGTTTCTAACCGTCAAATAACATCTAACCTCAACCGAATAACGATTTCTTTTTCATCCTGTACAGGCAGGTGCGATGCGTTGGTTGATGCGGTCGGGCGATGTGGATCGTATCGCGGTATTCGCTGCGGCTGCTCGTGACCGCGGCGCGCAGCTGATGGCGGCCGATTACCTGCGGCGACGTGCGGATTGGCGCGCACGGCCGGATCTCGCACGACACATTCTGCACTTTTACACCAGGGCCCGCGCTTATGGAAAGCTGGCCGCTTTCTACGCCGACTGCGCCAAGATGGAAGTTGATGAATACGATGTGAGGACTTCTATTTGCTTTTATATTTTCGCCTTGAATGAATAAATGAAAACTTTAGTGTTCTTCTCAAAGAATGATACAGATTGTGAAGATTTATAATATAATAAAGGTAAAAGATTACCAACAAAATTTATAATTGATTACATAAACTTAACTATGATACACTCATATGATTTAAGATTTATAAGAGACAAAAATTTACGCTCTCTTTTAGGTAAACTATGTTAATTTATCTGGGTCATGTTGAGGGCTTGTACCACGCATGTCTTACGATTTTATCACATTTGTTTTCCTAACTCAAAATATTTTTTATTCCTTATTCATCAGGCAGCAGTTATTTCCTTTTATGTCCATGATCACAAGTATGTACTCTACCTCTGCCAATTAAAAAGTTTTTGTTATACGATTCCACAAGAAACATATAAGTATCATTGCATTTTTAGTACTTCATTTAATACTTTTTTATGTTGTTTTGACTGAAAAGTATTTTTCTAATGAGTCAAAAAAGTGGGATTGAGATCCTCTTGCATAATTATTAATTATTTACAGTATTCGGTTACACTAACTTGATTAATATAATTTACAGAATTATGAAAAAGCGCTAGAAGCTCTTAAGGAAGCTGCCAAATGCTTAGCAAAGTCATCAGACCCTGAATCAGGTGACTTAACATTCTAATACAGATTTAAGCTCTGTATATAGGGATAATAAGAACTGAAGGACTTAATTCATTTTATAGGAGCGCAAACGGTCGCAATTCAAGAACAAAGCACGTTGGTTAAAAGATTCTTAGATGTGAAGAAGACTTTGGAGGCTGGTGAAATTAATACTGGTATTTTTTTTTTTTTCTTAATGTGTTCATACGACTTACAACAAACTCAAGATTTAATCTATGATAATCAAATTACAAAAAAAAATAAACTAAGTTTTAACAATTTCAATGCTTAAAATTCTTTTATTATAAACTGTGCTTTGAACTAATAATTATTTGATAAATAGCTATGTAATATTTTCAAAACAATGGTTAATATGGTAAAAAAATTTACATATAAATTTTTTTAAAGCATTCTCTTGGTGATTTCTCATTTTTAAAATACTAATGCATGTCACTTTATAGTGATAAAATGTGTGAAACCTAATCTCGTATCATTTTACCACATTTTATGCAATAAATTTATTTTGAACATAAAAATCATTTGTTTTTAGCATACAGTCTGAACTCAAGTGATATTGTTAACAATATCTTCAGATTTCACAGTAATAAGATTATTTTACCGTGTGTTGATGTTGGTTACAAAAATTGGTAACAGCCATTTAAAAGAAGTCCTATTTGTGAATTTAAAAAATTGTCCAATTATATTATTATGTCTTACATCATTAATAAATGTATTCTTTACTGTATTCAGGTGTGACAAGTGGACAACAATTACTCCGCGCGCTATCCGGTCGATCTGGACTGATCACCGAAGTGAAAGTACTTAAGTTACTCCTACAGTTCGCTGCTACTCATCCAGATGCCACAAGTATGTTATTACATATATAATTTATTGTGAAATCCTAAATATTAGTTTAAAAGTTAGCACAATCTAACAGGATGCAGACTCATATCTCTTAATTTGCATATTTCTCAGCCATTTTTAACCTTGTCATTGGGGCTATATATCAATATTACAAGCTGCTAGCTATTTATTATCAGTAAGAAATTTTATAGTAAACCTTTTAAACCAACATAAAACTTTTTTTTTTTAGAATTTGAAGAACAGTTAAGAGCATTACAAAAACGACCTGAAGAAGAAAATAACTCCACTGATTCTCCTGAACAAAGTATAGAAGAAATAATATAAATCATTTATGTACCTGCAATATTTAAATGATTATAGTGATGTAATGCTAAGAGACGATGTTCGCGTACAGTGCCTTGCTGTGGGAGAAGTCTATGTGTAGCAGTAGACTGCTTAGGATAATTATAATGACGTAAAGAATAACAATGTAAATACTGGCGTCGGTTCTTCTCTAAACCTATCTCTAAAATTTAAATTTCAACTTGATATCACAGCAATATTTGTATACTAAGAACTAACTAATATGAACTAAATTTCTAATAGATTTAAGGCAGATTATTATAAATTAAGTCTATAATGGTCTATTAAATGGTAATTTCGCGAAAGCATTAAAGTACTAGGTTAAGAGATAAGTTTAGAGAAATTATGCCTCAGAATTCGACCCCACTCTCACAAGTTGTAATATTGCCAATACGTTATTATCAGTATTGCCAGCATTTACATTAAATATTTATCAATGTAAATGCGTATGTATATATATATATATATATAGTTACATATGTGTAATAAACTAATTATCTGTTTCGTCCATCTTCATTATTGATTAAATGTTTCATCACAATTTTATGATTTTATTTTCTATATATATATTTTAAGATCGATCTTAAGGTTATACGATCTACAGAACATAACTCAAGTTTATACAAGTGTGATAATCAGGTGAATATATAGGTATAGCAAAACCTGTGGTATAGCGAAATATTATATATATATATATATATATATATATATATATATAATGGTTTCATAACTATAAAACCCGTAGGTACAATATCAATTAATTTTTTGAGATAAAACTTCTACCTATGACGACGAAAATTGCACAGATTTCGCTATACCTATATATTCACCTGGTTATCACACTTTTATAAACTTGAGTTATGTTCTATAGATCGAATAATCTTAAGATCGATCCTAGTGCGAATTGTGCAGATAAATGTGATTGTATTCTGTTGCAAAATATCTGCTAATAATTCAGCTAAGTTCCCAATAAATATAAACGTGTTAAACTAAAACCTACCTACCCCTAAACTTTCAATTTATAAACTATTGATCGATCAAGAATTTGCATGTTTTATATTGTCATATAGATTTATTCGTCTTTCAAGATCGAATTCCAATTTATTAATATAATCAATTGGTATTATTATCGTTATTATTTTATTCAGAGATGTAGTATAACGTACTACGTATTGTTCTAAGAATAGCACATTTAACTGGAACCTACTACTTATATAATAAATAAGGATTTCATTGATACTCCTGCTAAATCAGTTTCTTACTTATATTGAATATATAAATGTCCTATTTTCCTATCTCACTTTATCATATTTTCTAGAGACAAATGTGGTGAGCTAATAGAATGTGCTAGCAGTCGTCGGGGCACATAATATGATAGGGGTGAGATGCACATTGATATAGGTTGAGGAAAGTATTAGACTGTTTATTTTTTATTTTTTGATGGGTGAAAATGGAATGGTAACCCTGCCCGCGCTAACGGAATACGTTGACAGAGCACCAGTGAAAGGTGATAATTGAGAATGAAAACAGGCCAATTACCCCATCATGATGAATTCATCAGTAATTAATCATGATAGTTTCCAGGGGGAACCGCGAGGAGGTCAACCTGGTTGGATATATTGCTGACAATGAGATTCTCAATCTCCATTACTAACAATCCCTTTCCCCCTAGTATTAAACTGTTTTGTCACTTTCTTTCAAATTGATAATTCAGTGTAAAAGAAAAAGACAAAAGAGAACAATAGCTAAAATAAGTTTATAAGAAATTTGACGTTTTGTTGAATAAGGGGGTAAAACCAAAGATTTCGGAATAGAGGTAAAATAAAAAAAAAACAGCTACCGTTCAACGTCAAAGTTGAGATGACATTCAACAGGTGCTTTCATGTTTGTCAGTGTTAAAAGACGTCAAAGTGATAACTGTCAAATTTCTATTGTGTCTATAAAAAAATAGAGGTTATTATGTATAAAATTACTAATTAAATAAAATTATAATAATGGTTACATTAATAAGTAGTATTAATGGTATAAAGAATTATTGTTCATTCAATTCTACAAAGTTATATCAAAGGTATGCGATAAATAGTTTTACTAATGTTATGGATTTTTATCATTAATGTTGACAATGGGTTTCTTTCTAGAGTTTTTATCAAAAGAACAAGTAGTTCAAACACCAAAATACCAGATGTGAAGAGAATTAGGAACTTCAGTATTGTGGCTCATGTGGACCACGGCAAGAGTACATTAGCAGACAGACTATTAGAAATAACGGGAGTTATAAAACCTGGCACTGAACATGCTCAAGTTTTAGATCAATTACAAGTATGTTTATCGATTAATCTTTTTTAATTTATAAACATTGTATTACTATATAATTATTTTTTTGTAAGAATTATCTTATCGGTTGCTATATTATTAGATTAAACATTCTTTTTTATTATATGCAAACATTAAATAAATAATACAAATTTTCTTATAGTTTAAAAATTTGTCATCCAATGCTTTATAATACTAAAGTAACTCATCTCTAATGTAATTTATCTTTATAATTTAATTTACTGCTAATATAATATTTAATTAATTATGTCTATCTTATTCTTTTACATTAATGCTTATAGGTAGAAAGAGAAAGAGGAATTACTGTAAAAGCTGTTACAGCATCATTAAATTACACCCACAACAATGAACAATATTTACTTAACCTTATAGATACTCCAGGACATGTGGATTTTGCTAATGAGGTATTAATTTTTATATAACTTCTTAGAATTGAGAAAATCAAGATTCTTTTAACCCCTGTTTATATTCTTAACAGGATATGGAAAAAAGTTTTACAAAAAGCTAATATATATATATATATATATATATATATATATATATATATATATATATATATATATATATATATATATATATATGTATATAATATAAAGTTTTGTTGTATTATGTAATTCTTTTTTCACTGTGGTTTTGTAAATTATTGTTTATAAATTTCACCTTTATATTTATAAAGGTTAACATTTGATGCCAGACAATATTTGTAATAGAGTATGATAAATGTTAGACATCAAGGACTTTTTTAATGGGTGATAATGGTATGGTAACCCCGTGCGCTATTGGTATACACTGGCAGGGCACCAGTGAGGGATAATAGTTAAAGATGAAAAGGCAAGTCAGTTAGCCTATCCTGATGAATTCATCTAGAATTAGCCACAATGGTTTCCAGGGGGAACCACATGGTGGTTGACTTGACAGGGTATATTGCTAGTAATGGGGCTATTTGACCCCATTACTAACAATCTCTTTCCCCCCGACATCAAGGACTGACTCTCAAGGGGTTAATATCACAATGTATTTTATTGTAATAATAGTATCACAAAAATTACAATTTACAGCTTCAATAATAGATTAAAACATCATAAAGTTAAAATTTTATTAATTCACGATAAATTGTTATATAATAAATATATACATATTTTATTCAATTTCAACCTACATTAAAATACATCTTGATACATTGTTGGTTTTTTTTTTAATATTATAATATTAACAGGTTGTTAGAAGTGTGTCTGCATGTCAGGGAGTAATAATGTTGGTAGATGCTAATGAAGGTGTTCAAGCACAAACAGTTGCAGTCCATTCCCTTGCCAAGAGGAACAATTTGCTCATTATACCTACACTAAATAAAGTGGACCTTCCCAGAGCTAATCCTGACAAGGTTAAATCCCAATTAAAGACAGTATTTGATATAGATCCAGCTACAGTCTTAAGTATATCTGCCAAAAAGGGGTGGGGTGTTGAAGAATTATTACAAGCTGTGATCACGAGAATTCCGCCACCAATAGTTAAGCTGGATGATCACTTTAAAGCTCATATAATAGATACATGGCATGATAAATACAGAGGAGTACTATGTTTGGCTTACATACATTCAGGAAAGGTACGAATAGGTCAGACAGTTAAATGGAGATCAGGATCTAAACAGCATACTGTAAAGTTCTTGGCACTTTTACGGCCTCAGGAAGAACCTATAGAGGAAGCTGGAGCTGGTCAAGTTATAATGGTAGGTAAGTGATGTATTTACCAATTGTAGTAAGGTGCATTTAGAAATAAAACTATGAAAAGACTTATATTAAAGAAATTTCAACTAATTATAAAGAGAAATAATTTGGTTTTTTGTTTGTATTGGATAAATTTAAAAACTATTGAACATATTTTAAAAAATTTATACATTATCAGTACTCACATAGGCTACATATTCTTTAATAAAACTAGAAATTCCTATGAAAATTATGATAATGTAACCGAAGGTATCAAAAATGTCCTTATTAAAATTAATTAATATAGAATATTAATTGATCTTTCTATTTGTCTGTGCAAAGCTGGAGCAGATGACTAGTAACATACAAAAATCAAGTGGGCAAGTCAATTAAGTCATTCTAAGTTACATAAAAATAACAATGCTCAGGTATTATGTGTATTTAAGGTTGTGGGCCCAAAGGTGGGGGTTCAGTTGGAGATCAACTTTTATCAATAGATTGTGCTGATACTGGAGATGCTATAACAGTAGCTCCAGTAAGACATATGGTATATGCTGGAGTTTTTCCTGCTGATCAGTCACAACATACCCAATTGAGTGATGCCATAAAGAAATTAGCTTTAAATGACTCTGCAGTTTCTGTTACACCAGATTCCAGGTAAAATTCCTACCCAAATATTAAAATAGTTTACACATACATCAAGAAATTATTACATATTACACATTAATTTTTATAACATTGTAAGTAAACAATGTCTCTATTTGTATCATGCTAAACTACCAGTGAATAGATTTTGATGAATGGTATGATGATAATTTGACTTCTAGGATGATGATAACGTGGTATCTTTCTACCCATAGACAAATATAAAAAATATTCGCCGCGCGAACGACATCGCCAGAACTATAAATTAAAATTTTTATAAAAAAAAATTTCAGTCCAGCCTTGGGGCAAGGATGGCGAGTTGGATTTTTAGGACTTCTACATCTCGATGTGTTTACACAGAGGCTGTTGCAAGAATATAAAGCTGAAGCTATTCTCACTGCGCCATCTGTCCCATACAAAATCAAGTAAGTAAATTTCATTCATAAGCTTTTAAGCATTTTCAGTTATTTTAATTTGTTTAAAGAAGTGACTATTGTATTTTTGCAAATATACATTTTGTTTGAATGAATATAATACAGTATGCCTACCTATTTCATGATTTTCAGAGTTAAGGGATCAAAAATAATAAAACAATACAAAGGCGAAGAAGTAATAATCACAAATCCTTTACAATTACCTGATGCTAATAACATAGCTGAGTATTACGAACCTCTTGTAATAGGTAAGTATTATGTATTTTGTGTTACTTATATATGTAATAAACTAGAATAATTTATGTTTATACAAAATTCTTTTGGTCTTAATCAACACAACATTCCTTTTGTGGTGCATTGTTTAAATATGCCAATATCTTTAAACTATATTTAACATGAAAAATTTACAACTACCATGTTTATTCACTATTTGCATTGTTTTAGGTACCATAATAACTCCTGTTGAATATATTGGTGCAGTGACATCACTATGCATAGACCGACGAGGCACACCACTTCCTTCAAACGCAGTTGATGATAGAATGACTATGTTGCAATATATATTGCCGTTGTCTGAAGTAGTTGTTGATTTCCATGATACTCTCAAAAGCATTACCTCAGGCTTTGCTAGCTTCGACTATCAAGATTATGGTTTCCATCCTAGCCCATTAATCAGAGTAAGTTTATATAAATCGATTGAGGACCTTTAACTCAATTAAATGGTTTCGATTTGAGCTTAAGAAATGATCTAAAACTTTAAAATTAATGGGTATGAATTCCGGAATGATACTTATTTCTCGTAGGGAGGTAACAAAGTTTTAATTTTTCAATAATAACCAATGCAGTGGCAGTAAGTAGTACAAATGGCAAACGAATCTATTCGGAATTTAATTTTGTTAAAGCGTTCATAAAAGAGAATAAAACAGCGTAATTCGTAAATTATTCTATCTTATGCTAATGCTAGGAAAACGTATTTATCAATAAATGATTTTAAAACTTGTTTGCAGTGTCTATTATAAATACTTGTTTATAGTTGAAACGGACTTCGCGTTAAGTCGTTTAAATTTTTCTGTCAATAATAATGAAATATTTCAATTAAAATATATTTAATTTATGATGTAGGGCCCCTACATCATAAATTAAATATATTTATTATATATTATATATTTATTAATGCTTTAGATTATGTCGATCAAATAGGGCGACATACTAAAAAAAAAAAGAATTAATACTACCGGTGAACATATGTGAATACATCGATGAATGTAAAGGAAGCGAAAGAGATCTATTTAAATCGGAGCATTTGGTGTTTCATTGTTTTTGTCTATCCTATTGGGAGTCAGGCGGGGGCGGGGGGTAGTTAGTAATGGAGATTAAAGGCCCTATTACAAGCAGTATTTCGTATCAGGTCGATCTCCACGTAGTCTTTCTTGGAAACCATCGTGCGGAAGTCCAGGTGCATTCATCACGATGGGCTAACTTACTGTCTTTTCATTCTCACCCATCATCTCTCACTGGTGCCCCACTGGTGTATACCGTTATCGCAGGCAGAAATTATCATTCTTTAAAAAAAAATGGCAGTGAGGCATTACATTTTGTACATATGTATGCCAATTTATGTATAATTAAGATTGTATATAAATAATAAAAATATATGATGTAGATATAAATAAATAAATTGTTGACAGATGGATATTTTGCTGAACGGTGTCTTAGTTGAAGAATTATCTACTATAGTACATGTTAGTCGTTTAGAATACAATGCTAGAAGATTAACTGAAAAGTTAAAAGAAATGATTCCACGACAAATGGTGCAGGTAATTTATTTATTTTGATTAATGATTAACATGTTGAATTTATAACATTTATTTATATGAAAGGATTGCAATAATTTATTACGGCAACTCAAGCGTGACTTTGTAAATTCGAGCTTGTATTTAAAACAATGTTTTACTTAGAAAATAAGGTAGTATCTGGTTATTTTTTTATTATTGATTTTTTTTCTATAAGGTCGCCGTTCAAGCTGTAGTGGGTGGAAAAGTTTACGCAAGGGAAACTATAAAGGCATACAGAAAAGATGTCACAGCAAAATTAGTAAGTATGAGTTACTCAAGAATCTAGAAATTTTATACAGGTGAAATTAAAAATCAATAGAATCCTTTGAAGAGCGTTCAACTATTGCAACTGAAAATATTAACCAAAAGACATAAATTTAAAAACCACAAAAAAATTTAGCCTCTCGAACTAACAGATCCTGCTGTTGGATTAATATAGGAGAGTAAAAATAGGTATTTCGGTAAATTAGGTATTGTGGGTTATAATACACTAGAAGATGGAAATAAAATTTAAGTTGCTAAAATTAATATGAGGGTAAAACTGTAACCAAACTGTACTAGTATTATACCAGAGGGAGACTTTGTACAAAAGTCGATTGCTTGTGCACCTCTGTCCCATTCGTGTTTCTACCTTGAAACAGTTGTGTTTGCATGGCTGTGTTTCGGTTTGAAGGGTGGGATATGGCGTGAATTTACAGGGTACAGAGGAATAACACCGGAGTCCTCAGGAATGGCAACGCATGGGAGGTATCATGGGCGAAACAGTATACTCTGTTATGTCCATGGTACTACTCATGTCTATAGGCGACGGATACCATTTTCCATCAGGTGGGCCGTCAGCTTGTTTGCTATTCTAAGTTGTATAAAAAAAAAACAATACAAGCACCTAGTAATTAAATGCGAGCACGTAGGCAACACTTATTTGATGTTCCGTTACGAAGAACAGAGTTGGTCAAGCAAACTCCCCTCTCTTTTGCATTAAAACTACTCATTGATATTTTGAGCCAGTATCCATAATTAAACGTATTTGCCTCCAACATGCTGGAGTTTCGTCGGTGTTTATGTTCAGATATTTAAGATATGTTATTTCTATTATAGTGTGATATTATGGTATTATAATTTTATTAATATTATTTCTTTTATTTATAAAATAATGTGTATTGTACTGATGCTTTCCTGAGTAAGCGTATTGGGAGATTGCAAATCCCACCCAGTGATCATATAAATAAATTGTTTGATTTATATTGATATTTAAAATTTAATTATTGATTCACGATCTTTCTGTCTTAATATATTATGTAGAACGGTAATATAAGTTTTATGTACCGTTAACGATTTCACCTGTATATTAATATTAACTATTTAAATAAATCTTTATTTGAAAAGTTAGAATATCTTGTTAATTACTTATCATATATTTTCAGTACGGTGGAGATGTGACCCGCAGAAAGAAGTTGCTAAAACAACAAGCAGAAGGAAAGAAAAAAATGCGAAGCGTGGCTAATATTAAAATACCTAGAAATACTTTCATTGATGTATTAAAGAAATAAAATCAATAAATGTAAATAGTAGTAAGTGGGATTTTACTTTATTCATAAGTGAATATCAATTAACTTAGTTTATAAATTCAATTTTAGATAATCTAAGATTTTCAACATTATTGAGTAAATTTTCTTATAGCACAGTAGGGTTCAACTGGGTCAGAAATTATGACAACTTAGAAAATATATTTTTTTATTAAAAAGGCTGATTATAATAGGGTCATTTTATGGCTAACAACATAAAACTACGTAATTTCATAAGCAATTAATATATAATTTCTTATGTCAAACGATATAACATATTCAAACACAATCTCGAAAATGTAAAGGAATGATTTACATATTATGATCCTTACGACTACTTCACAGTGACCATTCTATGCTTAGTAATTTATAGGGCAACTAAATTTTAAACAAAAATTATTATAGCCTTTCATTAAGTGGAACACTTCCACTTTACATAATTTGTTTTTATTGTAATTATTAAGTATTTATAGGCAATTGAAAGTATAACGTAAAAACTTAAGGCTAGTTTAGTTTTAAAGGAAAACATTGATACAAAACTATTGCTTTCTAAAATTGGTATTATAATTGATTAATTGTCAATTATCTGAAATGCTGATAATTGATTCCATTGATTATGATAACAAATAATGGAATATGTATAATACAAAAAAAAAAAAACAAGAAATCTTGGCTTGGTGACTGAATCGGGTCTTTAAATTATCGCCATGTAAACTTGTATTGGTCTTATAGCTTGAGGAATTGACAACCGATCTGAAAGAAAGGTTTTTGAATGGCGGCCTGGTACGGGCGAACGCAGTGCATTGCAGGAAGTCAGTGCATGCAGATGGCTTAGCATAGTTCCTTGTGGCAGTCTATGAAAGAGATCTATATTCAGTATTGGACAGATTACGGCTGTGATTGATTGATGATGATGATGATGAAATTTATATCGATTGAGAAAAAAGGTTTCCAACTGCCGACTTTACAGGTAGTGTAGGGCGATCTTAATGTGTTGCAGCAAGTCATTAGATATAGGTGGCGCCAGGGCCGTTTCTTATAGCTTTTATATGTAGTGAACAAGTAATAACTGAAATGGAACTTGAATTTGGGTTATTTTGTTATTCACATATTTGTAATTACAAATTTATAACAACTAGAATGGTTGCAAATTGCAAGTCTCAAAAAAACAGATTACCAATATATGGATAACCATAATTTATCCATATATATAATAAGCCGTGTTCTATGACTACAAATTACTTTTGGATAAATTTTACATCCATAAGATACAAGGCTATAAGTTGTATTATACGTATTCTTTGGCATGTTTTTTGCGATAAACATAAGTCATTTATTTAATATGACAATACATTAAATAAATTACCCAGAAAGAATATGTTGTAATTTATGAAAAAATATATTTTCATATATATTTTTATTTACATACTTAAGGTAACTATTTTAGTAATTTATATTTTTAGCCTCATACGGCTTAACATAATATTTTATAGCTACACATGATACCATCAGCGATTTTACTAGCTACATAACGAATTTACTGTTTTCGGTTGCTGTACTAGAATTCTGCATTTTAACGATTGCTCCGAAGCTACACATCAGAGGGCCTACCATGAAATATTTTCCGAAATTTCGGGCACGAACGAAACAGAATTTGATGTTAAAATTACATATTACATGCCGTTTAAAATTATTAAAAATGTTAAAATATCATTCCTTTGGACTATTAGGATAGGATTTATGATGAACGAAATGTTAAGCTCCATTTACTGGGTCGATTTTGGTACGAACAAAAACACGAAATTGAGCCCTAAAATTGGATTTTCGTTTCATGGTAGACCACCTGGTTTTAGCGATTTATTATACTTAATAAAAACATGTATTTTCGCAATTCACTTAATAAATATTTCGAGATTCTAAAAGTCGATTTGACTGTGATTCGACGTGTGCGGATTTGGACGCGATATCAAGTGAGCAGTTAAATCGCTGATGTTTATGTATCGTGTGTGCGTTACAACTATACGATTTTCTAGGTATGTAGGTATGGCTCACCAATATAATAGAGTGACAAATAGATATGGAAATCGAAACGTAAATTAAATTTATCAGTTATATTTTAATATGTAGATTTCTTTCATTACAGTTGATGTAAAATTTTTCAAGTAGTATGATCACAGAAACCGCTTGATAAATTAATGGATATGTTTAAATGATATACACGATCTTTCTAAAAGAGATGGCTGTTCTACATAACTAGTTTTAATTATAGAAATGTTTTTACTGCTCAGTAAAGCAAGATTTCTATTTGAGCTGCTGCTGGGTGCTTAGATACAAAACAAGTTGATGTTGTTTACCCTCAAAGTAGATATCGATAATGTTTCAGTTCGACGATGACGTGACACAATTGACAATAACAATATCAATAAAATATGACATAACCCGAGATAACTAAATTTGCCTTACCACGGGTGTAACTCAAATTGGACTCGGTTCAAAACTTCAAAGTGCTGTCTTGCATCAGACCCACAGCTGCCTTAAATAGAAAACTTTGCTTAAGTTATTTGCACTGAATTCTCGTGCGCTTTGCTAACATCAGTCTTGGACTTTATAAATTACTTTCACTGTCTAAATATTCGGGCCCAATTTCAACAATTTATCATATATACTATTATTATTGATGATTATAAAAAGGGAGACAGTGATATTCGGTCGTGGCATTATAGTATGGTATAAAACTTGGGTAGGAAAAGCGGTTGTTTAAGCTTAACCCATTCTACTAGTACATAGTAAATTATGGTCATCTGCCCTTTTCGTATATCCAAAATAATGTAATCAAAATCCCTCTCATAAGAATTACTTAGAATTAACAATTTTTTTTAATTCTTACCTCAAGTTTCACGTCACTGTCTCTTAATAGATTCGATCGTCAATTCCTAGAAATATCAGTTTTTTAGAGATAGCACTACTGTAATCACAAAGAATATTTATTGTTTCACATTTTTTAACACTTCGTAACAATTTGTGTAGTCTAAATTAAGTTTGAATTTAATTTTTGAGCAATTATTATAAATAAACGCAGCCCATTATTGTCGTTATTGCCTACTAATGTTACTTGTTTCATATTACTATCTCTTTCTTCATATAAATCAAGTACAGGCAGAGAATAATAAAGAAAACTAGCATATTTATTTAAAGGAGAAATATCGGTAAGTTCGTTTCCTGCCACATTGTATCAATCACATCTGCAAGAGTCCTCTAGCTACCCCATCTGTTAATTTATAGGCATTCTATTTATTATGACAATTTTGACAGTATGTTTATTTTGTTTATCTCTATCATTATTGTAACTATTAGTATTTCTTGGCTAATATTTGTAACTTATTTAATATCATAACAATAAAACGCTAAATTATTCTTATTATAAACAAAATTTTGAGACCTTTCCTTTCAGCGTTTTATGATAAAGATAGGTAGGTTTGTTTTAGCCTACAGTATATAAGTTTAAAGGTAAGTACTATATGAATTTTCTCACTATAATTCTTTCATCAATGGAGCAATGGATATCTCTTAATTATTAAATTATCTAGATAAATTTTCCAATCTGTATTAGCGGTTTTATACAAAGATATGGAGTGACGAAGCGAAGATAGCATGCAAGACGTCATTAACAAAGAACACATGTCCGTCATATAAAAGTCGCTTGTAGAGATGTGTAAATATTCCTATGGCCTCCAAAAAATTTATATAAGTAATTTGTGTTTGAAATCATATGCGATGAGAAAATTATTTGTAAGAAATACATGCGAAAAACACGGATTTAAATTAGATCACAACAATTTTATAATCTTAAACATACAGTTTAAATAAATAATTATTTAACAGTCACATTTATAACCTAATATATATTTTTTGAGTTTGTTTTTAAAGATTCGAAAATAATTTTGACAACAATAGTAAAATGTAAGGAAATATTATTTTATTGATACAAAGTTATAAAATTTGTTTGATCATATTAAATAATATAATTATTGAAATCACAAAAAAGAAATATTAGAACCTGCTACACTGATAAGAATGTGACCGTCGTGAATTGTTAAATAACACTGAACTTCCTTCAAAATTAAGAGTAGCAGGTATGAAAGAAATATCACTCACCCAGTTCTTATGACATTTCCTATAGAGCCAAAGGATCATCAATCTAATAATTTAATTACTTAAACTTTAACATTTTAGTAAATTGGCTGCCATTCATAGAAACGAGAACAGGGCAAGCATGTCACAGCATAGTGCCAGTCAAATAAAAGAAATTAGTGCATTACTGCTGAGGTAGTGACTAATTTCTTTGCAGTGATATCCTCAGCGTAATTATCACATTTATCTATCTTCAGATGTTTCCAGAAATTGGGCATAGACATCTCTGGTGCATTCACCTTTCTCATTAAATTTGTATTTGTAATAAGAACCATCAGCACAGATAACTGAAACAATAATATTTATGTAAATAACATTTAAATAATTATTTTACTAAGTACATAAATAAATATAAATTGACGTTTTTTTAATAATGAAAATGCAGCGGTAACTCCACTTATGCTATTGGCATATGCTTTTTTTTACTGTTGAAAATAAAATTGGTCCAACAGGTAAAATTGTGATCAATCACGGGGACGACTGGTCACAATTTTACCTGATGGAAAATGATGACCCTATTCACATCTGCTTTAAATTGGTCTAGATTAAATGTGCTTGGAAAAACATAAGCAAAGAGAGAATTCCACTCCTGGGCCATATGCATAATGAAGGAAGACACAAAGTTCATACGTTACTACTACTACTGGTGGGATACCAGCAAGCTATAATAGTTGAAGTCAGTTCATTTAACTCATCATGATGAATTTACCAGGAATTAACAACAATAACTTCTAGGAAGATTGTATGAAGGTCGACCTGTGTATATTGCTAACAATGAGGCTGATTTTTCTAATGGGTAATAATGGAATGGTAATCCTGCCTGCGCTATCGGTATACGCTGGCGGGGCTCCAGTGATAGATGAAAGATAAGAATGAAAGCAGGTCAGCTGGCCCATTGTGACAAATTTGTTAAGAGTTATTGATGACAGTTTCCAGAAAGAACCACATGGAGGTTTGTTTAATGGATATTATACTGTGGTAGAGTACTAGTGAGGAATGATAGGTAAGAATGAAAAGGCAGGTCAGTTAGCCTATTGTGATGAATATACCAGGAATTGATCACAATGGTATCCAAGGGAGACCATTTGGAGGTCGACCCGATAGGGTATATTGATTAATGGGACTGGTAGTTCACATTACTAACAACCCCCTCCACCATATGGATGTTGACTTGGGCAGGTATATTGCTCACAATAGGACTTAGACTCTATAGTCTTGGTAATAACCAATAATCCTCTTCTCTTTCTTTACTGATATTGGCACAAATAAAAATTGAAGTTACTTACCAATAATGGAACTTTTATCAACTCCAAATGCACAAATGCAAGGTGGACCATTAGGAATAGTAAATTTGCAGAAACTCCAATTGCTGGAGAAGTACTTTGGTAGAAAATTCACTGTGGCTAGACTTGACTGTTTATTCAGTTTCTCATCTTCAAGACTGAATACATGCACTGTGCCATGGTCGGATGTCACACATAAGTTGGTACTTGTATGGTTGAAATTTATGCAGTAAATAGTTGCCTAAAAGTAAAATAATAGCATAACTTTGTAGTAAATACATAAAAGTAATTGTATATATACAATAATTAAGATGAAACTCAAAGTTTTTACTGATAGGTCATAATAATAATAAGTTAATTGACCAATTTAACTTTTTTTAAATATTATACAAAAGCTGGTCTAACATAATTTTTATCACAAAAGTAAATTTTAATCATTACTAATATTATAGTTGTGAATGTGAGTTTAATGGCTACCTCACAATGCCATAATCTTAATCAATCATTATCAAATTTGGTATTCACATACTATGTGGGATGGAGAAAGTTATAGGCTATTTTCTGTCCTAGTCAGTAAACATATTCTGATCATTTGGATAAAATTGCAGGTAAAAGCTAGTATCTAATAACACACCTCATAAGAAGTACTCTAATATCTTAACAACTTGTGAGGTTGGCATTGAATATTATGAATTACAATACTTACTTGATTAGCACCTCTTCTAAGTTCAGCTAATTTCTGACCAGTAGCTGTGTCAAATACTCTAATAAGTGTGCCCTTTGTAGAAGCTGTAGCTAGCCTGGTCCCACCAACGTTCAGGGCTAAACAACTCAATGGTGCTTCATGTGCACTTATAAGATGACCATCTGGAGTAGCACTTGCGCCTGTTTGAGTATTCAATTCTACCAACTGTAAAGGTGATAAGGTTTTCTCGTGTTATTATTTAATACAAATTTATATCGCTTATAAATAATGTTAGTCAATAATAAAGAATTGTAACAACTATTTTATTATAATTAATGTTATTATAAATGATTAATTAGAGAGACAAAGTAGTCATAAAAATCAAAGGATATAACTTTTTCCAAAAAATACTTAATAACAGTATTTTTTATAACAAATATCATTATTATTAAAATTTCAGAACACTGTTAACTGCTTCTTTAATAGTATTTGTAATATATGCACTTTCTAAAAAGTTAATTAACATAAAAATCATAATTGAAACACCTTACCTGCACATGCCCACATTTTCGGCTTGGATAAGCAAGTAAAGCATTATTACTGTTTGGACAAACTACACATAAACCACGTGGATTAAGACATGTCTCAAATACATGCAATAATTGTGGCTGTGCCGTAAATGTGTATACCTTTATGAGATTTTCTGAAAATGAAAATTTTCAGTTTTTGTGAAATTGATACTATATGTTAAGTTATTGTAAGAAGCTACTAAAGGAACTTAATGGTCAAGGGATGGGCAGCAGCATCTCTCTTAAAACATCACCTAAACCTAACTGTGAATACCAACTTGCCTAAAGAAGGAAGGCAACTATTGGCAAAATTCCTGTAATGGAGGAGGCCTATGTTAATGGCCAATATGATGATTAAATGTTTTATGTTTCACTGTATTATTAACACATTAAAATTGTTTATTTTTGTGACAATATTTTATATATAGATAATATTCATGTAACATAGTCTATAGTACAATAACAAAATTGATCCAACCTCGTTTGTCGTATATAATACATATTAATTAACACAAACTTTCACATTTAATTAATAAAACATTAGAACAGTCTTTACAATGTTCAACTGAAAATGGAACCTGCAGATACAAACAACAAAATGTTACTTTATTTAATTAAATTTTGTATAAAATACAATTGTATACCTATTATATCATTCCAGTATTTGTGTTTATAGTTAGAGAATCAAATAAATATATATTACCTAAAACAACAACAATGCGGTCTCTTCTCAATTTTACAGCTTTTACAGGGTTGTTGAAATCAAGTGATATAGCTGAATCCTTTTTTAAATCATCCCATATTATTACTCTGTTGGGTGGATAGACTGGTGTCGTACCACCCCCAACTAAAGCCATGTAATTACATCTGAATAACATTTCCACATAAGACAATCCGCCATCGGAAAAATTCTGGCGTTCTTTTTCTTTTAGTGGGTCACTATTGAATACACGAAATCCATTTTCCGTTCCGCAGGCGAAACAGCCTATACAAACAGAAAGAAAAAATGAGCAAAATAACAGTTAATAAAAATCATTGGTAAACACAGTATCTGCGTATTAACTTACCTTGATCTTGATTAAATCCTACATATAAAAGTCCGTTCCCAAAATTGTTTTCTTCTGATAAATTCATTATAAAGTGTTGTAAAAGTTTATTGTAAAAATTGTTGATTGTTGAAACAACAAAATAAAATTTAGTTCATCATCGAACAATTATCTTTGCGTTGCGGCAATTTGACACCACTTTGACACTTGATGACAATAAGACTATTTAATAGTTTTAGAATGGAATATTATCTATCTATGACAAGGAGACAAATATTAATGTTAATCTGTAGAAAATTAACTGTAATTAATTCTTTGGTGCAGAGTTTATTAGGATTATTCCGGCTAAGTGCAGAATTTAAAAGCAATTCATGACATATTAAAGGAAAAAGGGATGATTTTATGTCTTTTATAACAAGAAGAAAATAACTAAATAAGACGATGTAAGCTGTATAATTAAAAGACCATGGTTTGATTCATTTGAAGAGAATGAGATAAATATGAAGATTGTTGCAATCACTAAGTCCGTTCTGAGACGCCATTTATCAAAAACTATCTGCGCTAAGTTTAAATTTAGTTATTTCATAAAATTTGTATTTTATAGACCATTATAAACCAGAATTATAATAATTTTGACTTAAACCTATTAAAAAATGAATTCATTTTAGTCCTTATGGTAAAAATTTCGCTGTGATATTAAGGTTTTAAATATAGAGAAATGGCGTCTCAGAATCGACTTCAATGTCAATGTTGTTATTATGTCAATAATGTCATTGAATTGACAATTACTATTTTCATTGTTTTCATACATCTTACTTTTATGATTTAAAATATTTAAACAAATTAGAATCTTCTTTATAATTGTTATTGATTGAAAGGAAATTATATAACTGATATATAGTCTCTATTCGATACTAATAATTATGTTAAAGCCCAAAGCATTGACGCAAGTGTTAAGTCAAGCGAATACTGGAGGCGTCGAAAATACACTGTATTTATTTGACTATATATTTCATATTTATCTTATTAATTTTGTAATAAAATTAATTATAACATTTTTTTCCAGATTACTAAATCATCAAGGGGCGCTTTTAGCTTATTCAGGTTATAATGACAAAGACGCAAGAGTCACTGCTGCTATCGCAAGCAATGTTTGGTCAGCCTATGAAAAGCAGGGACGTAATGTATTTAAAGAAGATAAATTGCATTTTATATTCGTGGATTGTTTAAATGGAAAAATTGCTATAACACAAGTGGCCAGTTTACTATTATGCCTATATGCTAAAGAAACTGTGGGTTTTGGAATATTAAAAGAAAAGATCAATGCATTAGCACAGTATTTAGAAGGACCGCTAAAGCAGGTTGCGAGTTCATGATTAATATATATTTATTATCATTTAACTGAAAATACCCACATGGTTTACAATGCTAATCATTTATTAAATATTTAAGTGGTATCATATTGGAGTGTTTTATTTCTCTCTAATTTGTATTTATAAAATGACAGGTAAAACTGAAGATGTAAATTGTTGTTGATTAAATATTCTCTCTCAATCTTACTTCACATTATCTTGATATTAAGGGCTGACATAATTTATTGAGTTTTCAACATAAACAATTTCATACTTGATGCCACAAGGAATACTAAGTTGTAAGAACACAGATTTTGGTCTTTTGTAAAGTCTGGTCACTAGTATTACAGATGAAGTTTTGAATATCATTAGTTTTTTTAAGTTTAATAACATGAGCTGTGAGCTAATTAAATATAGTATTTAATTTCACATGCAAATTGGGAAGTTCCCCTGTAAACATAAATGTTAAAAATCATTCTTTTAGAGTTAATAAAGTAGCCAATATTCTTTATCAATGTTTAAGATTTCCCCAACCAAATATAATTGAAATTGATTCAGCTGTTTAAGTATGAATAGTAAGCTGACATATTTTTCCCATTAATAGTGGCAATAGTAGTATTACCTATATGGAAAAGACAAACAAATATATTATTAATTTATTGGTGTATTATTCATTATTAGATTACATATTTGGTTTATAACAAGTATAAACTAAACCCCTAATTCATAAAGATGTCAAACCTCTTATAAAACTATTGTAGCTATTGAATCTTGTGTGTTAATTTTTCAAGTAAGAGAACAAACTGCTCTTGATATCTGAGGATTAATAATAATAAATAATAATATTTAATATAAGAAAGATACAGTTGCATAATAATAATACATACATATCTGTCACGCCCAGTCTCCCATTAGGGTAGGCAGAAACAATGGAACGCCAAATGCTTCGATTCAAACAAACCTCTTGAGGATTAATGTACAGTTTATATATGAATCCAACGAAATAATAAAAAAAACAAATATTTTTATTTTCTTTTATGTTATTTGCCACAATGCTTTCAATATAGTTAAAACAGGTCTGTAGGACATTTTAGTTTTTATGAATAAGGGGGCAAATTAATAAGAGTATTAATGTTATTAACTTATAAGAGGAATACAAAATATTGAAATAGTTTTAATTTTAGATAAAGAATATAAACTATATTGTTTTATCAATAAAATACAAAAAAAAAAAAAAAATACAGAGTAGGTAGAGTATAAAAAGACGAAATAGTTTATATATTCTTAACTTTATTATACTACTAGTGTAATATATATTTCCATATATACATCATCTAATTTTAACGCATTTTCTTTTGCTTAATCAAGTAATTTCGGAAAGCAATTTGTTTGTCTTTGAATGATCTTTTGATTTTGCCTTTAGCTTTATGTCTAACCATTTGGAAGTTCTTTGTTTTTCTTTTTTCTCTATTTGTTTTAGAACAGTTAATACTTTTTCTACGATCTTTGTAGCCATATTTTTCCCTTTCTTCTCTCCCTTTCATAACAGTTTCCAACCTAGCATTTTTATCATGTTTACGTTTTTTGTGTATATTTTCTATTGCTGACAGTTGTACGAGTTCGCCATTACTATCAGTTTCTTCTTCAATAACATTTTTTCGTTTAATTCCTTTAATTTGTTTTTTTACTTGTGCTGCTTCTATACGTTTGAAATCATCATCTGTAAATATTGTTTCCATTGCTATTTCACGAGCCTGTTTTGTTTTTTCCTCTTTTTCATGTGTTTTATTATGCTTTGCTTTCAATATTTTTCTAGTTTTTAAATTCACAGATTCATTTTCTTGTGGAGTGTCTTCATTATTTATACTAGACTCATTGATATTTTCATCCTCATTATTACCACATTCATTATCACTTTCTTCTTCTTCAATGCCTTCATTGTCACTATATTCACTGTCTGTTGGTATTTCTATTTCTGAATCTGATGATGCAACATCAATCCAATCCTCACTGTCTGAATCGTCACCTTTCTTTTGTTTTTTTATATTTTTTTTCTTATCTTTAAGTTGTGATTTTTCAAGTAATATTTCTGAACCTGGTATGTGACTTTTGATTTCTATTTCACCATATTTTTTAGACTTCAGTTCTAAGGAAGCCTCTGTTGGTCTACCTCTATCTTTTTTATGAAGAAGATTGGGCATTGATTGTCTGTATAATTGTATTAGTGACCTAGCAGCCATCATTACAGATTTTTCTTTATAACTCTTGTATTGAACTAAATCTCTAAGTAAATCTTCATCTATAGCAAGAGGGCAGCGAGAACAAATTTCTCTTACTGCATTCAAGCCTACAGCCATAACATCAGTAGAATTTCTTTCCGTTATAAAATTATTTGCAATAGCTTTCATAACAGGTTCAATTACATCTGGTGGTATCAGCTCATGTGAGGCCTGGGCAGCAAACTGTAAAATACGAGTAACTTCCCTTTGATGTGGCATGAGTAACCGAGCAATAAATGGATAATAATTGAATAGAAATAAGTTGTGTAGTCCAATTAGTCTAGATATAACATCTAACATCATTAACTTAACTTCAAACCTCTCATTTGACGACTCCAGTTGTTTAAATAACTTTTCAGAAAATCCTTGTGGATTATTGATAATATGAAGTGCTGAAAAATTGAATGAAGGAGCTTTCTGCTTTTTCTTTTTCATTTTCTTTGCTACCTTTTTCACCTTTTCTACCATCTTCTCTCTTTTACGTGTTTTTTTATTAAACTTATTAGATATCATTGTATCTCTTGGGTCTATCTCATCATCACTATCAGAGTCTTCTTTTTCCTCTTCATCTTTACCTAAAAAGAACTTTAAAGATGCTACCATTACTTTAGTCACTTTAGAAAAACATCCAATGTCAGCAATGATATTAACTGTTTTATGATCATTCCAAATATTTTTCTGATAGAGTTCTACCAAAATATCTAGAGAAAGTTTGGCTGCTCTGGCATTCGAATCTCGTAGCATTGAAAATATGAAATTCTGCAAGGTTGAATTAAATTTCATATCTTTATGTTTCATATTGATATTCTTAATATCAGTTATGATGTGTGTCTTTAAGAAATCTCTTAGATATTTATCTTGACACTTTAGTAACTGGAAGAACAATTCCAATAAATCGAATGGGGTAATAAAATTTTTGTTTCTTAACAAAATTAAGCATTTACACAACGATAACCGCATGTCATTATGTAAAATTGTATTGTGCGTTTTCAGAACGTCTACAATTTTTTGTGGAAAGAATTTCATTTCGTTTAGATAACATTGCGACACTTGAGCTAAAAACATAGCCTGTTCATCCAATTTCTTACTATACTGAGTAGGATTTAAGTTAAAAATTTCCAATGTTGTTTCAAAATGAGCAAGCTGCTGGTGGAATTCTTCTTTATAGGAGCCAGGGTCCCTTTTTATTAAATTTTGTAACTGCGTCAAATTATTGGGTAGTTGATTATTATGGCGCACCATTTTGGCCTAATCTTTCGTATAAATAGCACTAACAAATATTATATTATTTGTTTGGTTAGAAAATTAAAATACTTTTATTCAACCAACAATAAAAAACGTGCATTTTAATGAAAAATAACCTCAAATAAAATTTTAGACATAATGAATCCAATAAGGTCTTTAATCTATGGTGGAATTGCAGTAGCGATGCGCGCAGTTACTAATATGACTAATAATTTGAATTCAATTGAATTAAGCGCCTGATTAGTTCAAATGAGTGTCAAACCATTCGATTACTATATTTTATATTAAATCAACTACCAATTTTATTAATTCAACTCTTAATTTTATTCATTCACTACACTGGTACCATTGAAATAATGACACTTTTTGATAATTTTTAGAATATGTACTAAAAATTAGCAATTGTTGATATTTATCAGTTATCGAAACTATGAAATGTGTTGAAGTTTATTTGCATTATACAATATAAAAAATAAGCAAGACAATTAATAAATATAACGACACAATTGTATAATGAGATGAATTAAATAATGAGAGAATAATAATTATTAAAATAAAAAAATCATATTGATACGTGCACTGCTTATTTATAGTCACTTCAGAGGACATGATTAATTCATAGAACATATATTATCTATTTTGTGGCAAACAGTTAACACAATAAAAATTTATATCTATTTAGGCTGACTGAAATAATATTTATCTTAGATTATATCTGCCTAGAATTTGAAATAAAATGGCACGCTTATAAATTGAATAAAATGGCTGTGAGATAGAAAACCTATCAACTTAGATATTACAGTGTGGGTTACTAAAATTATATAAAAATATTAAAAAAAGTTTTAAAATTATTATCATGAATTAATTCTATCTATTGCTATTTTTTAGAGGGAAAATGAGAAGGAAAGTATGTTATACTGTATTTATGTGTATAACAAAGATGGAGACAGAGTTGCTCTATTTTTATTATGTTATAAACTTAGATTACAGTTACAAACAATAATTTAGCTTGATTGTTTTATAGCTTGATTAAGTCTTAGTCGTTTGTAATCCTTTTAAATAATGTTCAGACATTATTAAAAGCTTAGAAACTTGTTTACGAAATATATCTTTACTCTTTTCCAAAATAGGTTTTCGGAGCAATATGAATTAACATAGATACTCATATTCGATCTACGGTTTGTTTTGATGAGTAGGGGAACACTGTTATTTATGTCATGTCAAACGAAATGATACAGCCACGTCATTTTTGCTTTGAATGAAAAAGTATACGCGGCGTACTTAGAGTGAAGTTTTGTTAAATAAGAATCATGAATATATTTCGTTTATGTGGTGATTTATCTCACCTATTAGCTGTAATAATATTATTACTTAAAATCTGGAAAACAAGATCATGTGCAGGTGATTTGACTACTCCTATCATTACACCTATGCCGGCACGAGTCATATAGTATCTATACTAAGTGTAACATTTTTATTTATGTTTTCAGGCATTTCTGGAAAGTCTCAGATACTTTTCTCTGTAGTATATACTACCAGATATGTTGATTTGTTGACGACATTCATTTCGCCGTATAACACTATAATGAAGGTGGTCTTCATCGTTGCTTCCTACGCGACTGTTTATTTGATGTATGTTAAGTTTAAAGCGACATATGACCATAATCATGATACCTTCAGGATTGAATTCTTGTTGATCCCATCGCTTATTCTGGCACTACTTATTCATCATGAGTTTACAGTTATGGAGGTTAGTTGAATGATTTTGTTGTTATTTTGTAAACTATCCCATATATTGTATACTAGCTACACGCCCCGGCTTCGCACGAGCAGAATGATAGATCTTTTATTTCTGAAAAATAAAATACAGTTTATATTACTAAGATTGTTCTTTTAACTTAGACCTCTCTATAGGTGAAAGAAGAAAATTGGTTAAGTATAATATAAATTTATCCAATACAAACAAAATTCAAATCCTCCCTTTTTATAATATTAGTTTAGACATATAGAAACTCATCCATATTAGTAGTATGATAGTACCTGATAGTTATTAGGAGGTATGTACTTTAAAAAATATTAACTTGGTATAATTTATTATATTGAAAATTTATCAATTTACAGGTTTTATGGACATTTTCAATTTACTTAGAAGCAGTGGCTATTTTACCTCAGCTGTTCCTTGTATCGAAAACAGGAGAGGCAGAAAGTATCACATCACATTATTTGTTTGCTCTTGGCATGTACAGAACACTTTATCTATTCAATTGGGTAAGTTAATATCTCATTAACCCAAATATGGTTTAAATTTCTATTTTGACACACATGAAATGTTTAACATATAAATATGTATATTAAATCCATACTTAATATTCTTTGAATAATTATATATATATATATATATATATATATATATATATATATATATATATATATATATATATATATATATATATATATATATATATATATATATATATATATATATATATATATAGTTTTTTTTAAGAGCTTAATTTTTTAAACAAGGATAAAAAAATTGCTTCCTATATTTTTATATATGAGGTGTACAGTTTTTTTTATACTAAAAGCTGACAGTAATAAATATTTTAAACATCTGTATCATTAACTGTGTCATTAAATTTTAAATCATGCTCTGTAAATACTTTTATAACACTTTTTAAAGTAGGTAACTAACTAAATTGATAATAAAAAAGTGCGCTTATACACTTGGAGGAAAAAAAAAGAGAAATGATAACACCTGTAGTAAAGTTGGTGATTCATACTTGTGAACATTTGTATAATTTTTAATTGGGTAGGTATATTTTTAATTTTCATTTCTAATGCTAATGCAACTGGTTAATGTGTGCAAATAGCCTGTTAATATCTTTAGTTTGTATGATATTTTGTATCTTTGAAGATCAAAGGTACTTTTTAAGTAGTATTTCTTGGTTACAGGTTTATTCACTATTCCATTTACATTTCTGTGTTTAATTCCATACTAGACATCTATTTTAATCTTAGTATATAGTTTAATTAATTAATTTATACACAAAATGAAATATACTCAAAAAATATAACAAAACAAAAAATTATTTATTACTTATCAAGTTATATGTTGTTATTTACTATACCATGTTTTTACTTTTTACATTTCACATTTACAGGTATACCGCTACGTTTTTGAGGGGCATTATGAGTTGATTGCTATTATTGCTGGAATTGTGCAGACTGTACTATACTGTGATTTTTTCTATCTCTATATTACAAAAGGTAGGTAAATTATTTTATTTGTAATTTGTAAATAGGATTTTAGGAAAATTCTACTATCCTTCGAAATAGAAGTAAAAACTATAATTTGAATCTCCAATTTATTACACTGTAGTAATATCATAAGAGTTAAATTATTATTTAATTTATTTAAAAAAAAAGTTCTTAAAAAGTGTTTTGGGTTCCACTTCTTATTTTCTCTGTGAAAGACATGAATGGATTACAATGGAATTATTTATATATTTCAAATTTGCTGCAATTGAATGTGTATATTTAAAATAATGTAGTACAGTGGTACCTCAATATTCAAATGCCCTAATATACAAGTGTTTTGAGAGCGAGCCTCCAAGTAAGCTTTGAGATGAGAACAAGATTTGAGATATGATGAATCACACATTACACTGCTGCATATGAGCCCATACATACAAGGATGTTGGTATCTAACAATTTCTCCCACCTCAAACTAACACTTAACAGAAAATGAATTAAATTCATATGTCAAGATACTACTGTATTTTAAAAAATCATGTGTCAAATTATCTGAAATAGGTGTAAGAGACTACTTTTTGGGCAATGTTTTGAAATACATTTCCAAATCATAATTATTGCATATAGTGCTGGTATATAGTAATGGATTATTTTGACTTAGCGTATTTTTTTGTTTCTAGTTCTCAAAGGAAAGAAGTTGCAGCTGCCAGCTTAAGTTATATGCAATGTAAGGCATTGCAAATAGAAAAAAACAATATGACGAAAATATCTGTGAAGGTGTTTTATAATTAGCCAATAAATTACCTAAGATCTAGATGTACATTGTCTGTACACTTGTGAAAATGTTGATTACTAAAGGCAGTTAGTTATGTGTGATGATGATGAATTAATAGTCTAACCTAACCATGTACTATATTAGTTTCTAGCACAATATTCATAATGAGAAACCAATGATTAAATAAATATTAGATAAATACAGCTGAATTGTATCTGGTTACTAACATGCATTGAATTTTTTTCCATTAAATATTTGATGTCTTCTAGTGACGATATAATTTTTTTATTTGAGAAAAATTCATGTTGTGTATAATTTTATAACGAATGTCTAACACTAGAATATTCTGATTTTGTTTACAATATGTAACATTAAATATTTTTTCATATAAATATTTGTAGTTAAAAAAAAGTAATTCTTCACTGATTTATGTACATAGGCTTACAATGATGTTCAAAAATTAAAGAAACCGTACTCCCGTAGATATTATTTTTATTCACACAATTTGCTCTAAAAACTGAATTAATTGATAATATAATGTGTACTCTTGTGATGTGCGATAATATATATGCAGCTATAACTTGATGTTTTGCATATTACTTCCTGTGACAGGAATTATTAATTTCAATATGAATAGAAAGGGTGTTAACACCAATAAAGATAGTGGCTGTTAATTTCGAATTCATTGACATACAATAATCCGCTTATAAAAATCACTGATAATGCTAATGAGATAGATCTATATAAAAGAATTTTACAATTTATTAGCGTCTGTATAGATTGACAAGGAAAAGGGTTACTTAATAATGTTGAATATTCGAAACTCAGTCACGTCTTCAGGTCGTCGGCTATATATAACCGTATATTTCAGATAAATAGATTTGTACAAATTTTCAGTTAAAAAAAAACATACCAGCCCTGCTTTTGTATAAATCTTTAATATATTTATTACTGAAACATTTTTATTTTTTAATATGATGTCTTTCCTATAATTAATCGATATAAAAATTATATAAGGAAATTTTATTGTCGTATCTTGAATCGGTAAAAATATAAGTTTATACATAAATAAGTTTAGTATTATCTATAATATTATCAGAGTGCATTTGTATGGTGTTTGACATGCTTTGCAAGTACTGTCATACAATGTATGGGATGTTTCTTAATCCACATTCCTTCCATACATTGTCACACAACAATAAATAAATATATTTATATAAGAATTAAGTTCTTATTTATAATGTAAGCCAATGAAGGCGATTGCAATTGTGTATAGACATGTGGGCAAGTCATTTTTATAATATTTAATTTTTCTAAATATAAAAGGTCTTAGTAGTTTAGATTCTGCCCACGTTAATAGACAAACTATTGATTCTGGTTAATGATTGTGTCACTAAATATTACGTGAGGATTAGTATGAAAGTAACTTCAATAATTGTTTTCATTTCGGTATTGCTACAAATATTATTTGTATTGACAAATTATTGGTATAAAAGTGTCAATTTATTAAAAACATGTTTGCTATTGATGGTAATCAGTAAAACAGATCAAACAAAATTTTTTTTAATATACTTTTAAGAACTGAATGTAATTTCTTGCAATAAGTATTCCTAAATAAATAAAAATTACGAAGTGAATATGCCTTTTTTAAACAAATTCATATTATTTTATAATGCCTCCTTTTAATAGAGACTAAGTGTTTTACGATCACCTAAAGAATACACCTTTGTACCTAAAACTAAATCTATGGAATACACTTAACCTATTTTTTTTTAGCAAGTAATTTGTTTCAATTTGAGAGAGGGTAGTTTACGAGGAATCTTGTAAACACCCGCCAGATGGTAAGGGCAGACGAGGGCTTTGGGGTATATCCCATTGCCCCGACATCTTCCCCGGAGGTTAATAACTCCGGGTCGCTGGTTTTTAAGCCGACATATATTGGTGGTATGTGTATGTCGACATGTAATCTTCTTTGGATGTGTTGGAAGGGGTGTGGGTAGTTCCTCTCCTTATTTTTTTATCTACACTAATATTTATAATATTTAAGAGGAAAGATTTGTATTGTGTGTATGTTTGTAAAGAATAAACTTAAAAACTTTTTGATTTCAAAAATTCTTTCACCATTAGAAAGCTTCATTCACCCTGAGTAACATAGGCTTTATTTATTGCTAGAAAAGATTAGGGATCCTTAGTAAAACTTTAGTAAGTAACTCAAGATGTAAAAAAATGCTATAAAATATCTATCGTCGCGTGCGTTGCGGAAACTATTGGTGATAGAACAAAAGTATGTTCTACAATATTGAAGAAAATATCAATAAATACAAAAAACTTCGCGATAATAGTATAGACATAGAGATGTCCAACTATTATCGTTATGTCACAATAACCACTTTTTACATTTTAAAAGTTGATAGAAATACCGACCAAAATTACATCATGTTATACTTCTGTTTAAATCCTTATTCAAATATTATATATCATATTGTTTTCAAAACTGTTTTCGTTCCTAGTGTTCATAATTACACATTAGGAACGGGTGGGAGGCGGAAAGAGAAGAGAGTGAGGGAGATGGGTGATGGGAATATTGTCTTATTGGACGAGGTGTTACGGTCGCTTTTCGCCTGTGCACAAGAGGTTTCTAGACGTGGGAGGGCCGTCCGGTGGATGCGCAAGTAGCGGCGTTAGGCCCCTTAGGTGGAGTTGCGGTCCGCCGTCGACACGAGCAAACATTTTGCTCACCATGCCGACGATGAACTCCTCGACCGATGGGACCAGTTGTGGGCGATAACGTCATTACAGGCGTATCTGCCCGCTGCCGCGCATAAGCGAAGAGCTATATTTTGCTGGGGTTGCAGCCGGTGCCTTAGCGTCGGGAGGGTAGTTTTGTCCAGATAAGACACGATGGATCCGTTAGGTGGCGGTAGTAGTGAAAATGTACCTGAGGGCCTATCATGAAACGTTTTCTGAAATTTCGGGACCGAATAAAATAAAAATTAAATGTTAGAATTACATGATACATAACGTTTAAAAATATTAAAAATGTTAAAATATAGTTTCTTTGGTCTTTTATGGTAGGATTTATGACGAACGAAACGTTAAGTTCCATTTACTGGGCCGATTTCGGTATGAACAAAAACACGAAAAAGAGTCCGAAATTTGGAATTTCATTTCATGGTAGATCTCCTGGTTAATAAACTTATCCCGGTAACGAGGACGAAGAGTGTGAAATCATAAGGTTTTTTGGAGAAGCTAAAGTCACTATATGTTGTTCATTCTTTTAATATTATTAATAGTTTACTTTCGCATTGTTGACACATATTTTAAGTACACTATAAAGATTTAACGCGGGGCGACTACAGTTAAATAGTATGTACCTAAAGGTATATAATACAACTAGTCCTGCCATGAACACCAAGTGATGCAATCCATTTCGACACGTGTAGGCAATAAAATTCAAGTATGTAGGTACTATTTACCTGTAATCACGTTATGTTAAGTCTCGACATTGTATTTATAATATTACTAATAATCTATTTATTACACAATAATGATGCATATGAATCAAAATCAGCTACATGCACTTGTTCCTGCAATAAAAAAAATATTAATGAAATACCATTATGAAAAAAAACATGAAGAAATAACTGTTAGGGAAAATATCTATTACTTACTGGTAACATAGTACTGCTGTTCATCAATTGAAATATTCCATTTTTAAGCGTGCTGTCATTCAGGATGGCTGTATAAGGGACACCCATCTCTAGATTTTTTTCGATCTGTTAAATAATACATTTTAGAGTTTCTGACAATAGATGCATAGGTAGAGTGCTCTACATATATAATGTTGAGTGCTTTGTTTAAAAATTGAAACCTACTCCCTCTAGTAAGATTTTAAATATTTTGCTTAATTTAACTGATTCATTTTTAACTTGTGTGTTCTACATTTTTTTTGCAATAAGACAAAAAAGGTAATATAATTTGGCTTCTCATTTTAAGCTAAAGTTAATGAATGAAAAGTATTTTGTGATTTAATTATTCATACATACTTGGGATTCTGGTGATAGAGAAAAATCTGGAACCCATGTTGATACTTTGTTCATCTGTAGTTTTAAAGATAGCAGCTTTGATAGCTCTTCTAGGGTTTGTTTATCTTTTGTATCTGCAATTGTAATATATGATTACAACAAAAGTTACAGGTTGAATATGTACTTATAATTATTTTCATATATAGCTAGTAATAAATTATACATTTACATATATTTGTAATAAAGTAAAATATTAAAAATATTACTATACCTTTACAATTAAGAGCAAATGAAATTTTATAAGGTGCCAGATTTTTATGTAATCTTAAATAATTTGTTTTATTTTGTCCAATTAATCCATCCATTAACAAAACAAATAAAGCATTTTCTAAAGACATTGTGCAGCTGAGACAACTTGAATTTGGTATCTAAAAAAATATACTTTATTATTATATATAGTTTAGTTATATTGCTTAGCTAATGTAATGTGTGTAGTATGAAGAAAATGAAAATAACTTTTTAAAACATCATGTAGTTGCAAAATTCTTAGCTTGAGACTGAGATTTGATCTTGGGCTTCCCAAACTTTAGAAAAGTTTTTAACATAGGACTGAAATAAATTGATTATTACATTTGTATTTGGATATATGTTGATTGTTTCCACAATTTGATGGCCCCATGGGAACTGAGCTATAACATTTACATCTGCTGCGTTTTCCCCAAACTTCATATCATTTATAGAAAATAGACCAGGAGTCGTAGTTATCTGTAACAATAAATGACCTATTTTTGATCATATCAATTTTTAATTGAGACATTTACAATTAAAAATTGATAGAGAGAAATTGAAGAGATTGAAGGATAAAATTTTCAGTTTTTTGTTTTACTTGTATTGTAAACGATTATTACAATATGTTTTATTGTAATAAACTTTTTTCCAAAATAAAACTGTGCAGCATATATTTTGTTTAATATTATATGTGGCCAGGTATTCAAAATAATCAATATTATGAATATATTTTTATATACTTACAGAACTCCACCAAAATTTTCTATACCTTTGCCACTGTGTAAAATATTGCATCACATCCTCTTGTGGTACTATTAATTTGAAATTAAATTTTGATTGTGTATTAGGTGCAAAGTCACTTAAATTATGCTCCACTATTGTACTTTCATTGTACCTTATGTGATCATGACAAAGAATCCCAAATGGTATAGTCTGATGATTTCTCTTTCGAGCTGTCCTTTCATTTATAAATACAGGTAAATGTTTGTGTGTTTTGGTGTTAATATATTTAAGCCAATTTATTCTAATATTTGTCATTAATATTGTACTAGGTTTCTTATAAATATAATTAACATAGTGTTCTGTTGATTGTGTAACTTTAAAAAACATATCCATATAGAGAATTCTTTGAATTTTAGTTTTCATTTTTTGTTGCTTATTTTGTCAATTCACATATTTCTTCAGCTTTGATATCTTGTAATGGTATATTCCCTGGTGGGGCAACAAAATAATCATCCTCTGTTATAGAAGCATTTTTTAAAATGTCTTTTTGGCAATTTCCTTGTGTAACTTTATCAGTTCGTAGATGAAGATTTCTGTAAGTAATAATTACTATTTTTATTATTGGAATTTTATGATAAATCTTCTATCAGATATGTGTAATCTACTCATAATCACAAGTTTACAATAGCTATTGTAGAACCACAAGAATATGGTAGGAGCTTATGGATAGTTTGACACTTTATTAGTAAATATAAAATTATTGGCAATATTATATGGTAGAATTCTAATAAATCTTATTTATAAACACGTAAAATTGATAAGCAAAATCAAATTGAAATAAAGAGGAATAGTAATAAACAGGCATCATGAATTGACGATCCACATAAAATAGATATACATTATTTTTTTATAAAACTGGGACACTTAATGGAGTGGTAACTGTATTTGAGGATCAGTGTTATGGTTATATTCTCAGTAATTGTACAACAATATTACATTTTAAATTAAAATGTAGCAGGAACACTGGTGGGATAAACATCGAGACAGATGACATAGTTTTAATATGGTTATTTTTAAATCTAAAAGATTTTATAAATTTATTGCAATTGAAATGAGAACGAATTATGCCAATGCAGATAATCACTGCGATTATTTTACTTTACTCTTGTTTATGATGATTTAGAGATTGTCTGCTTTAGATTACGATGTTATAAAATAAAACTCACTCTTCCTCTAGAACAGAATACAAAGGCTCCACATTATCGGTGTTTATGTGAAGAATTTTATCGGCGAAAGCAATAGAATCTTCTAATACTTTAGTTCCTTTTGTAGTGTCGCATTTTACCAAGGAAAGCCTTTCCAAGAGGTTAAGTGTGTTTTTGTCCACTACAACTTTTTTGTTTTGGTACTTTTCCAATGTATTTACAGGCGTAGTGGGTACTTTCCCTCCAATATTCCTTGACAATATTTGGATATATTTAACTTTACAAAATGTTATGAAAGCAAATTTAAATTTCATCGCTAAAATTTAGCTAATAAATAATAAGGCCGATATTTGAAAATCTGAAAAAATACACAGGACAAATAGCACATAACCAAATGAAGATATGATATAGAAAGAAATGAAAGTAACCTATAAAAAAGTTTTGTTTTTTTAGTACGTCTGTTCCGTTGTGGAACAGGCTAAGGTCGGAGACCATGCTGCCTAGTCTTCAATATGATAATTTGTCTGGAATTTTATTTTTCTAATGTTTTTTAAATTTTTGTCGCTTTAATATAAAAGTTTTGATTAAATTTCATTGCTTGATTACTATCATGTAATAGTATTGAAATATAACTGACAACTTATTGACAGATTAATAATAATAATATCTTTTTATTTTTGAAAAGATCTATATATAGGTAAAATAAAACATTTAAATTTGTAATAAAGTAACTAAACATAAGTACTTGTTTTATTGTATATGTTTTTCGTAAAATTTGAACATTTTGTATTATGGAGTAGCTAGGTTTTTTTTATAGCAAACGAATGAAGGCATATATATATATATACATAATCTTAAAAACATACATACAATTATAGCATTTTGAATATTATTTTTAATTTTATTTGTGTTGTTATTTGGAAAAGGTAACATGCAGTTGAATTTTCAGGTTCCTTTGTTATAAGGCCAGTGCCAACTCTTATAACATAGTGACTTTTTGCTCTTTGATTTGATTATAACCTTTAAAGAATAGAAAATAGCTTATAAAATTGTACTAAATAATTGTATTTGAAGGTAATTTTTATAATAATACACAGTAATCTATTGATTTAAGCTAAATATATTTACGATTCCTTTGCTTAGATATAATTTTTTTTCAATTTTAAAAACTATAAATATTAGAATTACAACAAATTTTGCATTAAAAATTGAAACGATATTGTGAGTATATTTATAAAATTGTTAGAATGTAATGATTATATACAATTGCCTCAAGTGCAGTCAGATTTTAATCTTATGAAAATCAATTATGTATATTTTATTTTAATGGTTAATAATGGAATGGCAACCTTGCCTGCGTTAACGATTTACACAGGCGGAGAACCAGTAAAGGATGATAGGTGAGGATGTTGCAGGCTAGTTAGCCTATCGTAACCAATTCAACAACAAAAATTAATCACGACAGTTTCCAGGGGGAACTGCGTGGAGGTCGACCTGGTAAGGCGTATTGTTAGCAATGGGGTTGTTAATGGGAGGGAGACTTTGAACAAAAGTCGTTTGCTACCTCTGTCCCATTCGTGTTTCAACCTTAAAGCAGTTGTGTTTGCATGGCTGTGTTTTGGTTTGAAGGGTTGGATATGGCATGAATTTACAGGATACAGAATAATAACACCTGTGTCCTTAGGAATGGCAACACATAGGGGTATCATGGGTGAAACAGTATACTCTGTTATGTCCATGGTACTGCTCATGTCTATAGGCGACAGTTACCACTTTCCATCAGGTGGGTCGTCAGCTTGTTACTAAGTTGTATAAAAAATCTCAATTACTAACAATCCTTTCTCCCCCCAATCAATTATATTACATGCATACTTTACATGCTCGCTTTCAGAAACTATGAAGAAATCTGCCCGAAATTTGCTATATGATAGATTACACAAAGGGGGTGTATTAATATGTGTTGGATTGACGATTTATGGCTCAGTTATGCTTGCTGATCATTTCTACAAGTATTACAAATATGTCAGACCTCAAATACAAACAGCAAAGTTAGCAGCTGAGCAAGAGTTACTAGCAGAGGGGTCTTCAGATAGAATTTTGTTAAAAGAATAGGTAGTCAGAGTTATTGTTTTTATAGTTCTTAATAATATATGTTGAGAATAGATGAGAAGGCATCTTCAAACTACAAATCTCTTCAAACTGATTTGTACTGCTTCAAGTTTATTAGATGTCATTGATTTTTTAATGATGTGTAACATTTGTTACATATTGATGATTTATGAGTTCTTAATTAATTATGATTTTTTTTTCAATCCAAAGATTTTGCTCCCCATGCTGTTCTTATGTTGTGAAAGTAAGTTGTGTTATTATTGATAAATTTATAACATACAAGCCTCTTAAACAGATTCAATAATTCTTTTAAATACATTGAATAATTCAACTATATTATTAAAAATATTTATGTAGAATTTAGTGTAAGTTGCTGATTAGTATTGATTTAACATGTACTTTGTTATTGTGCATTTTAAGCATTGTAGAATAATCTTAGTTTGAGTTCTAAGTCATTTCTGATGTAATATAATAGAATAGTACTCTGTATCATGATAATGTAATTAAAAACATTTTTTTATGCAATTAATCTTTTATTTAATTGAAATAAATATGTCCATCTTCATACCATATAGATAGATAGATATATGATTTATTTGCATCACTTGCAGCACACAAATAATAATCGATATACACAAAAAAGAGTAAACAAAATATATAGATTATGATAAAGCTCACATTTATAATATTACTAAGGATTTGTTGCAACCTGTACATGCAAATTAGCATAATAAGTAATGTGTATACTTAAGTAATTATATAAGCATAATTAAGTAATAAATATTTGTATATTATTACACATTTTAATATAAAATACTGTGACTTATTTGCCAGAAATATATAGAATTATAATAGTTCTATAGGTTACATAAAGCTTAACAAAAAAAAAATAAGTATTTAAAACTGAATATTAGATTTTTATGGTAATAATAATAATAATGCTTTTCGTTTTTTTTTCTACTATATATTTCAGACCTCTAACAGCATTTCTTAGGAAAACTAGGCTATTTTACCATTTATGTTACATCTATAATATTGGTGTAATCAATAGCAGCCTTATCTATTGGTAAGAGTGATAAAATATCTTCATGATAATCATAAAACGTATACCATTGTATTTTTATTTAAACAGTGAATATTATTACCTGTCCAGGTACATACAAATTATTATTTTATATTATTTATATTTTTCTTGTGAATAATGGCGGAAAAGGTTCCATTGGTTAGATTCAATAATGGATTAAATTGTCCTATTTTGGGATTGGGCACGTGGCAGGTAAGGTATTTATTTGCTCAATAAATTTTTTATTTTTTTTTAAATTAACATACTCATGCAAATAATTCCAATTCCACACATACACACGACACACTGATTTCAGTTGTGGTAAAACCCCGTATTTAAAAAGAGTTGTTCAAATTGGTTTACATCTGACAGAGTCAAGACGTCGATACAAAACGATATAGACCATAGGAAAATATTGGTTTAATTCAATTAAAAATAATGATACATTAGTATTATGATAACCATTAGTAGTTAGAAAGGGAATGTCACAATCTTAAGTCAGTGATAGAAAAACGAACTAGTATTTGGAAAGAGTTTCGTATACTACAACAAACATAAAAAATACAACTTAATTGGGAACCTCTTCCTTTTTTAAGTTGGTTAATAATAGAAGGCATTTGGTGTACATAACACCAAATGCCAATACAAGGCACAAATGAACCCTAAGTTGGACCGAATGAGGAAAGATTAAATGACAACAAATCCATTGACGTACAACCGATCACGAGTGTTTGATACAAATCAATATGATTTGTTTTATTAATTATTTATTTATTTAATATCGTTATCGTATCGAGATCATCGCATGGTTATATTTATTTATTTATTATAATGCATTTATGTATATAATATAGAGTTCCTATAGTGTTATTATGAAGAGTAAGTACATGAACCCTGTTGCGGCATAGTTAAATTTTATTGATAGGTAGCCAATAGGTATATATGCATGAATGTCAATTTAGTTGTTAGATTATATTTAATTATTCTACAGATTATTGTTCGTTTTTATATGGATGATTAATTTACAACTTTGCTGTCGATTTTAATGTAGGATTTTATATCACTGTCGTGCCACTGATGGCTGCGGTTCGATTCCTGTACAATATAAATATTTGCATTCAGTTGTTTAGTACATAGTAGAAGCAACAATTACCTGGGACAATAGGTAATATACTCATTAATAAAATATTCGAGTTCATTATTTGAATTGAAATAGTTTACAAGTCTACCGCAGACTTTGGTATGTTAATGCTGATTGATAGATTTCTATTACCCGAGACTGATATGACGATTGGAAAAATGACAATAGTAACTGTAGATAGGTTTTATTAAAATTATCTTCAAAATACACGTATGCTAGCGTGAATTAGGCAGAAGTATTAATGTTAAATTTTGTCCCTCTGTGTATTAAATTTCATTTAAATTCATTCAGGTTTTAAGGTTGAACCTAAGTTTAAATGATTTTACATGTTTTTACCATAAACTAGAGAATAAGTATAAAACGTCTAAAATACGAAATATAAATGTTTTATTTATGTATATGACATATAAAATTTATAATTTTCTATATTTGTAGGTATTAAACGTTATATATGTGATATAGGTATTAGATATATTACGTACTTACTACCTATACAAGTAGGTACTTATCTCCACATCGAATTACAATGGATCGCTACGAAGTAAAGATGATCATTAAAAGTGATATCTAGCTGACTTATCATTAATGAATTGCAATACCTACGAATATTTTTTTGATAACCCAGTTTTTGTCGTAGTTTTCCACTTACATAAGACAATATCATAAAACACCTATACCGTTTTTTTTTTCTTTTTAAATATTTTATTGGTACGAAATTCTTTAGGTATTTTATTCTACTAATCCTTACTAATATACAAATGTGAAAATGGGTTAGTTACCTTTAAGTGTGTTAAAAGCGTGAAGTTAGGTTTATACGTATGTACCTACTATTAGGGATGAAAAAGGACAAAGGCTATTATTTATCGTGGTCGAGGGTGAATGGTAGCAATATTATAAATGGGAAACTTTATAAAGATATTTGGATTTTAATGAAAATTGGTAGTTTGGATTTAATCACACGGACAAAACTATAATAACTTGAAGCTTAAAACCCAAGCAGTTTAGGAGATTAACGGAGAAATGAGCCTGATACGGTAGATTACTTATTATAGACTGAACTAAGTACCCGTCGGAAGATTGAAGACAGTGACCATTAAAATTCTTTTTAAACCTATTATCAGGCAATACGCGGCGAAGAAAGCAAGGTCTATGAGGCTGTTTGTGATGCTATTGATATAGGCTACCGGCATATTGACGGTGCCCATCTCTACGGTAACGAGAAGGAAGTTGGGCAAGCGATTAAGGAAAAGATAAGCCAAGGCGTGGTCAAGAGGTAGTTATCTCAATTTTATTTTATAGGGTTTTAGTATAAATTTATTAGACTTATTTTTACTAACTGTTACTAGTATGACTATTTAGTATATACTAATAAATTATACAATTGGTATATTAATTATTACAAATTTAAAAAAAGTAAAATTATTTACTATGAAATTTGGTGTACACGTACGATATGGAACCGGGGAGGCTATATACTACTATTTTTATCCCGGTCACGCGGATAACATCGTGGGCACAAGCTATTATTAAATAATACGTACATGTATTTTATGTGCTAGTAGAAGATAGAGTATTATTTTTTACTGGTGATAAATAATCTTAGTATGTACGTAATAGTCTTAAATGGGGGATAGTGATTGTTAGTTATGGGGATAGCAACCCTATTACCAGCAATATACCTTATCAGGTAAACCTTCTCACAAGTTTCCATCCATCGTGATTAATTCATTATTTAATTTGTCACTATGAACTAACTGACCTGCTTTATCTTCACTTGTCATCCCTCACTGGTGCCCCGCCAGTGTATAACGATAGCGCAGGTTAGGGGCAGCGCAGCGCAGGGGTTACTATTCCATTATCATCCATTAAAAAAATAGTCTTAAATATCTATATAGAAACATATGCATAATTATAATCTTGTAAATAAAATTGTGAAGTCTAAAGTGATGCAGTGAGGATTGATAGGCTGTCATTAGATATTAAGAAAGATTTTTTTTATCTCAATTGTAACCAACATGAATGTAATAGTTAAATTTCAAAATTATCTAAAAAATGATCGATTAAAAGGTCGTTTTACTACTTAACAATTTGGCACTAACCAATAAATGTAATCGAGATCTCACCAAGTTTATGTTGACACATATAAATTGAGCAATATGCCTACCTACTTGCCAATGTTTAATAGAGCAATATGTAACAATACGTAACCCAGGTAGTCGGAGATCTGGGACTTACTAAATATTTGTTTCTCGCTTTATCTACAGGGAAAACCTTTTTGTAACTTCCAAACTATGGAATACATTTCATAGTCCGGATTGGGTTGAGACGGCAGTGAAACTTTCTTTGTCCGATCTCGGATTGGAATACCTCGACTTATATCTGATACACTGGCCAATGGCATATAAGGTAAAATTAAATTTCTACATAACTATAATAATAAAGAAACTGTAAGGTTGATTCTGAGATCCTATTTCTCTAAACCTGTTTCTTAAATTTTTAATTTTAACTTAATAATTGTACAAAATTACTGCTTTATGGGCCATCATAAACTAAAATCACAATAATTGTAACTTAAATCTATTAGAAAATGAGTTTATATTGTCCTTACAAAATTGATTTTGTTGTGATATAAAATAGAAGCTTTAATATTAGAGGAGTTTATATAAATGGCGCATATGATAAACAAATCTTTATTGTTTTTAGGAAGGTTATGATCTAGAACCTGTAGATGAAAACGGTAAAACAATATTTTCTGATGTAGATTACGTCGATACATGGAGAGCGATGGAAAAATTAGTTGAAAAAGGCTTAGTAAAAAGTATTGGAGTCAGTAATTTTAATACGAAACAGATTGACCGTGTTTTGGAAATAGCCAAGATTAAACCCGTCACTAACCAGGTAAATATATTATTATTAAGTTTTTATAACTATTTTGTAGACATCTTTTCATTAAATATGAAAATAAATATGTTTAAGATTGTACTTAATCTAGCTATTACTCGTTAATAAACTATGTTATTATTTAGTTCATAAACCCAATTATTACTTTCTTTATTAACGATGTTTTATATCACAGGAGAGTTAGTCAGATGTTTAAACTAATACACAAAGAGCATTTTTGTGGTGTATTTTTGTATAATACTTTGACATAGCTCATTCAGATCGGTAGGTACTATTAAAATGCACGCTATGTGATGTTACATTTAATACTATGTTATAAGTCAATCCATGTATTTATTTTGGTAGGTGGAAGTACATCCATATTTATATCAGCAAAAATTATATGATTTCTGTAATACGAGAGACATAGTATTAACAGCATATAGTCCACTCGGTAGTCCTCAGCGACCTTGGGCTCAGGCTGAAGATCCTAATGTTTTGGAAGATCCTGTAGTTAAGAAGATAGCTGCCAAGCACGGTAAAACACCTGCTCAGGTTATTATCAGGTACGACTACACTGATTTAATTTTTTTACATTCAACACTGATTTAATTTATTTATTTTCAATAGAGACGTATAAAAAATTACTACCAAATAAAGTTACATGTTTTGATTGATCATTAATTACACAGATAATAATAACAATGACAAAGACGGTCACCTTATCTAAAATATTTACCTTAGGCCATAGGTTTTAAGAATTAGATTTGATTTAAGAATATAACTTTTAAAAGTTTTTAAACATGATATCACTCAACGAATTTTAATAGATATTTAATATCATAGGATATTTTTTTATCTTAATTCACATAAGACAAGCCGTAAGTCACAGCTAGTTTATTTCTATTAATTAGGCAAGTATTGCTCAACACAGTCTAAAAAAATCATGTAATTAAAAAATATTCGAGTTTTCAAATGACATGGACCAATAAACTTCATAAATAACTTTACGTATTATATGAGTCTTTTAAATGTACTTGTGAGCAGAAAGGTATGTGTTGAAATATGATTTATGAAATGGTGTCAAAGTTGGAAAAGAGTTCGCATCGATGGCATACTTACAAAAGATGACTCAGTTTGCATAACTTACGAATCAGAAGGAAGATGGTGAAAATAAAATGAAACGGATCGTTGTAAATTGTATTAAGTATATCTCTCATTCGCAATTTCTTTTATGCAACTTTGAATGGTTAACAAACTGACGGCTCGCCTGATAACTAATAAGAAAGTGGTAATCGTCGCCTATAGATATAAACAGTAATATGGACATAACAGAGTATACTGTTACTCCATGATAACCACTGGCGACGCATGGGAGGTACCACTCATGATACCTCCCATGCGTCACCATTCCTGAAGACTAAGATGTTATGCCTCTGTACCCTGTAAATTCACTGTTATATCGAACCCTTTACGAGTAAACCAAAACACAGCCATGCAAACAACTGCTTCACGGTAGAAACACAAATGGTAGAGAGGTACCCAAGCAAACGACTTTTATACAAAGTCTCGTTCTGGTAATCTAATACAAATTATTACCCAACCAGGTCGACCTCCTCGCGGTTCCCCCTGGAAATTATCATGATTCATTCCTGATGAATTCATCATGATGGGCTAACTGGCCTGTTTTCATTCTCATCGATCGCCCTTCACTGGTGCTCCGCCAGCGTATCCCGTTAGCGCAGGCGGGGTTACCATTCCATTTTCATCCACCAAAAAAAAAGCCCCATTGCTACCACTGGAGGTAGTACTGGTATGTCCTATTAGGTCGACCTCCACTGGTACTAACCACGTGGAGGTCGACCTAATAGGACCTAATAGGGCCATATTGTATGCCCTATTAGGTCGACCTCCACGTGCTTCCCCCTGGAAACCATCGTGAATAATTCTTGTCGAATTCGTCATGATGGGCTAACTGACCTGCTTCATCTCCACCTATCATCCTTCACTGGCGCCCCCCCCACCCCGGTGCATTCCGATAGCGCGGGTGGGGCTACCATTCCATTATTACCCATTAAAAAAAATACAAATTATTAAACAACAGAATTAAATGATGCTGTTATATATTCGAGTCCCCCTTAAAACCATCGTGGATAATTCTTGTGGAATTCGTCGCGGTTCGTTTATCCTCATCTATCATATTTCACTGGTGCCTCGCCAGTGTATATCGATAGTGCAAGCGGGGTGTTACCGTTGCATTACCACCCATTAAAAAAATACAATGTTAATATTTTAATAAAAATCTGGCTGAAAGATATAAATAGATATGATTATGTAAATACTTAATATGTTAATATGTTATACTAGACTTTGGATTTGTGGCTCAAAAACGTAGGTGGCTCCAAAATATTACTCGTGGGAGCTAATATGCGTGGAGGCCTATTTTCAGCTTATATTGTTATTTAAGAAAATAAATGGCTGTAATGATGCTGATAAATGATAATAATATGTTTACACACGATTTATATTGCAGGAGCGCCGTTGATCGTGGTATAATTGTTGTACCAAAGTCTGCAAGTAAGAAACGCCTTGCGGAAAATTTCGATATATGGGATTTTAAATTGAGTAACGATGATCAGAAAGAGATTAGCAGACTAGATCGCAACTTCCGTGTCATACCACATGATCAGTAAGTTAAAAGATATTACTAATTGGATTTTACGATATAAGTAGATATATAGTACACTATAGTAAACTTATTATAAATACAAATAATTGCAAGAAAAGATTACATTGAGGAAATAATGGGTGGCCTTACCGCTAAGAGCGATTTCGCTATAGGTAATATGTAATCATAAAATTTGATTTAATTGAACTTTGATAGCTTTATATTTTAAAATAGTTGTAACTTGTAAAGTTTATATACGTATTATTTTTTTGTTTTGTTTGTTTTTGATACTATAAGTATGTATTAGTAAGCGTGCGACTTTGCAATATGTGTTTTCACACCTTATGTTAAACAGAATCTAAAATCTAAAATATCTAAAGTGCTCTTTAATAATAAAATCTTATAGATATAACATCTAATTTCTTTCGACTAATAAATTATTCGACTTTATCCATTTTGTGAAAGGATATAGAAATCACGGTTTACGACTTGCGCCTTTGATAGAATCCTAAAACGAAAATACTCTGTATTTATATAACATTTTCTTCGTTCACAGTGGTCGGGAGCACAAAGATTATCCTTTTTCTCAAGAGTAATAAATGAAGATATTATAACAGAATACCTACCTGTTAAAAATGGCGTAATAAACTTAGTATTAGTGTATATAAATTATAAGGAAACAGTTCGAACAATATCATTTAATATTATAAGTAAATATTTGATACATACTCATTTAAAGATTTAAATTATCAACCAAGGGAGAAAGCGAGGACTGTGACTGGGTTGTCTAAAAATAAAATAAGGTAATACTTATTCTATGCTACATGACTAATACAAGGACCTAAGGCATCTAAAATTTTTGTAAATGTCCAGAATTCTAAATGGTTAGTTTGCATGTGTTTCTGCAATAAATTTATTCCAATATTATTTAACTATTGTTTTATTAATACTTGGTGCCAAAGCCACTATGTATATATTTACAATATATGTACGTAGGTATGACATTCTAGGCTTTACAAATCGCAAAGCGTGTGAGTTACCACGAGTGTCGCAATGTAACGTATTTTACAACGTTTAATATGTATTCCATCAGAGGCCGTCCGTCAACTTATTTATCATTTCAAGTTAAAAAAAAAATTAAAATACCTAGTTATAATTGGTAATGCTTAGAGAATTAAACTTTTTTGATTTTATAATAAATTAAACTAAAAATCTTTTAGTATTTTTCTAATTATCTTCAGGCTAGGCAAAGCGCCTACGGTAGGCAGAGAGAAAATAAGTTAAAGTCGATTCCTTATTTACACATCTATACCAATATTATAAAAAGGAAGGATTTGATTAATTGCATGTGAATTGGTTTGTATAATATTTTATATTTGTATAAATGAATGAACTCTTTAACTATCTATCTATTTAATCGATTTTAAAAATTGTTTCACCTATAGCAAGTTATATTATCAGCGAATAACAGGTTATACAATACACGTATATTACTTTTTTTTTACCGGTGCGAAGTCAGGGCTGGCCGCTAGTTAATTATAATTGATAATAATTATGACTATATGTGAAATATATTTACATATATTTCACATCAATAATTTATTTATCAAAATAATTTCTAGATCAAAATATACTATTTCAAATATACTTTTATGAAAATGTAAATTTCATAAAAATGTTACTTAAGAGTTTAAAAATTTTAAAATATTTTTGATATAGTAGGTACATTATTTTGTCTTTACAGAAGAGATTATTTTTTCCGGTATATTCGTAAGCAAATCCATTTTGGTAATAGACCATCCTATTACACACTTTTTGTCTGAAGTTGGAATGAAAGAACTTGAAAAGAAATGTAATTTTACAAATTGTATATCACGGCGCGATCCCCTAAGGCCCTTTCATTTGGAGCACTTACATATATTTTTACTTGATACTTCAGTTTGTATGACAAATAAACTTGGTTTTATTTATAAAACGTAAGTAGTTTAAATAGAATTTGCTTCATAAGATACATCATTTATATATATACTAAATTAAAAAGTTATAAGTTATAATACATAGAATAGAATGGAAATATTTATAAAGAACAATGCTATTGATATTTAAACGAGCTTATACGGTTAAACAGATTTGAATGACATTTAGTCACAGAAGTATTATATCTTAAATTAACATAAAATCCCAATCTTTATCCTAGTTGCATGGGCAAGGCCGTGGGTTACAACTAAGTCTGTATTAAGCTTAAATTTACTTTCATGTATTTGTTTATTGTTTCATTCAAATACAAACATATGCAAGTAAAATCATACTTATCCTGCAAACTTTAAACTAGGATACTCGTGTCGTGAGAGTTCAGACAACAAAATATGTGAGAGCACGAACAAACTTTTTATCACAGTCAGCATAATCAAAAACTTTTAAAAAGATTCTTTCGATGATATTTCTTCGGATAGGGTCCGATGAATTTTATGTTATATCGTTTGATGTAGGTATGGGAAGGTCTATTGTAAATATTTTATTATCATCTTTATGTAGGTATATTTTAAAACCATTATCAATATAACTTTATGTAAATATGAAGATTTCACTTTAGCTGAAAAGTATGAAACTATTACATATGGATACAACGTCACATAAATAGACAGACACAGTGATAGAGATGACGTGATAATAAAGTTCGGCTATAAAATTCTAAAAAATATGTTGGATTTGTGGTGATAGTAATCCCTAATTAATATTACAACGATCTGATAAACTGTATGTTATATGATAGAGCAGACAAGGCTGTTTTGCACGTGACGAGTTATTTATCTATTTAGATAAAGCAAGACATGGTTGGATGCAGATAAAAGGATAGAGGCTTTTGGCACGCTGTTATCTCTACATACCCTGCAAGCGACTTGGTGTAAATAGAATATTGAAATGTAATATGGCAGCTAGTAAGTCCTATATTTAAAAATGGAAGTCTCTATATTTTTTACACACTATTAAATATTTATACAGAATGAATTTTTTGATGATTTTTACCACCGTACAATCCGCCACAAACTAAAGTTTCAACCTAACCATCTAGATGAGTGACGATCTTCCATCATGCGTTTTTCATGGCATTTTCTTCCACGCACAACCACTCTTTGGAACCAACTTCCAGCAGTAGTATTTCCGAATCGATATGATATCGTAACCTTCAAGAAAATAGCATATTCCGTTTAAAAGACTAGCAGCACACCTGCAATGCTGTTGGTGTTGTGGGTGATCATGGGCAGCGGTAGTCACTAACCATCAGGTCAGCCGTGTGCTCGTTTGCCTAATATGTTATAAAAAAATGTATGACAGCATTTAACCAGTCAACCATTATGTTGTATAATTAAGATTGTGTTTCACAAAAAAAAAATTGATTTCAGTTGTTTCAAAACCAGTTATTTTTATTTAAAACTAAATTACTGAACCGATTTTTATAAAATATCCATGGGAAAGTCTGTAAGAATATTCTTTCAGATAAAAAAAAATCCAAATCAGTTTACCACTGTTATGAGGTAACAAACATAAAAAAATACAATCAAATCGAGAACCTTCTTTTGAAGTCGGTTGCAAAGAGCAAAAAAAGCTACGGCTGAATCTTTTTTAAAGTCAAATGGACACTGTACTTGTATATCAACAGTTTCTCTTGTATATATGTATGATGTATGTTCTTTATACATTTTTCCTTAATATCCATGTCATGTTTAATATCTTCAAAGATAAATTTATATCGTATTCACAAACTTAACTGAAAGTTAAATTAGATGCACTCGAGATCGAGTGCTCGATAACCGACGGCTAGTCACGGTAAACTTCATCTTCTACGCGGATCTGTGTAAACGAGGATAGCGTTTTAATGTCAAGGATCGTCCATATTTTTCGATTCTCGTAAAGATGTCATAAAGTTTCCCTTCGAAGGTAGATAAGAAAGTTATATGGATGGCGCGACCCTTACGGCCGCATCTAACTCTCACTATCCATCACAGGTAATTGCAGCACTTCCTTCAGTGTTCACAAGAAGCATAAATGGGACGACCTGCACGTGACCAGCCCTATCTAGCCATTTATTACTACCTCACCTGTTTTCTCCTAAAGATATTACACGCCTTGGTACAAGCACTGACTTCGTGCGTGCGCGTAATTGATTGAAAATTCGTGACCATATCTTTACGTTTATTAAAGATAGAGTAATGAGTCATATGTCTTATCCTTACAATTTTCTTTTATTGTTGAAAATGTAATAGTAATCCCGCCTGCGCTAACCGCATACGCTAGCGGTGCACCAGTGAGAGATGATAGGTGAGAATGAAAAGGCAGCCCAGTTAGCGCATCATGATTAATGCACTTGGACTTCAGCACGATGGTCTCGAGGGGGGACCACGTGGAGGTCTACCTGCCAGGGTACATTGCTAGCTATGGGCAGTACCATTATTAACAATCCCAGTGGGTACTTGTACTTCCGAAATAACGTTTATATTTCTTCTGAACGTGTCTGCTTTTTCTCTCAACAAAGGAAAGAAAATAAGTCTTTACCCAATTTATATTAAACCATATCAAAATAAAATTTATTGTAAGTAAGTGTAATAAATAATAAAATCGAGTATAATTAAATTATTATTGCTTTATTAATAAAGTTTTTTTTAGTAATCTTCAGTCATTTAAAAACTTTTGTAGTAACAGTTTTGCGTTATAGGTGAACATAGTTATGCAGCTTCGCTATTATTATGCATAGAAGTTCCTATCACTTTTTATTAATTTAAGATAATCATTGGAATATGTAAGTAAATTGTGTTATAATTACAAATCTTTTTAGGTATGGTACGTTTCCTTTTTAGGTATAGTACGTATCACATGTATCATTTGAGAATCATACAATTCACAATTCGGGTGATTTGAAGCTCTCGCCTGCGGTTTGTGTTTCAAATATCGCACGTCAGTAAATTAATGGTAACAGGTTGCTTCTATTGATGAACAATGTAGAAGGTAATAAACTACTATTATTTGTATTAGGATATCTAAGTCATATTTTTTAGTATTAAATACTAGGAACGACAATCAACCCATACGATCCATACAGAAATCTTCGCCAGAACAATGGACAAACTCATATTATGTTTCGCAGCTTCATTCTTTGCGATTTACATTTGACAATAGTATATAGGTATTAAAATTTTGTATATGGAATACCCAACATTGTAAGTATTTAGTTTAATAAATATTGTTTTAAACATAAGTTTTAATGTTTTTGTATATTTTATTTGTAGACATTTATTAGCATCAAAAAAGATGAAACCATAAAGTGCCTACCTAATGAAATGTGTATAATGAAGTTTTATGATGTTGTAAAATGAACGGAGTATCTACCTACAGATTAATTAATTGCCTCAGCATTATTGAGGAAAGGCTGAAAATAAGTAGAATATAAAATTAGGTATAATTTAGTAGAAAATTATTTGCGAAATTGCTATCTGACTGTTATAGGTTAACCTAAATTCCTTCTTAATTTTCTGATACATGCATTTACTTAATACGAATATATATATATATATATATATATATATATATATATATATATATATATATATATATGTTTAATATCTGGTAATATATTTTATTTTTTCTTTATATTTTAATATCTTAAAAGAACAAAAACGCCGTTGCCATATTACTACAAAACTACAAGGCTCGAAGGAATGCATAAATAATTTATAATCATGAATTATCAAAGCTTCAGATACAGTATCAGTTTCAAAACCCTCCGGGGCTCCTTTGCAGTGGATCAAATTTATATGAATTTATGAACAGTATTAATAGTGGAAACAATGCAAATATGTATCTTGAACCCATGCGTCTATTTCTATTTCAAAGAACTTATTGTGAATGCAAATTATATTGCTAAGCCCACTTTCAA